ATGGTGTTTCACTAATAAAAATTTTTTTTAAAAAATTATAAAACAGGGCATTAGTGAATCACTAGGAGGCATCATCAGGAAACTAGATTTTATTCCAAGAATAGGGGCCAGAGCGATAGCACAGCAGGAAGGGCGTTTGCCTTGCATGCGGCCGACCTGGGTTTGATCCCCGGCATCTCATAGAATCCCCCGAGCACCACCAGGAGTGAATCTTGAGTGCAGAGCCAGGAGGAACCCCTGAGCATCGCCAGGTGTGACCCAAAAAGCAAAACAAGACAAAACCAAACCAAACCGAACCCAAGAATATCTGATCTGAAAAGTATTAGGAATTTTAAGCTAGGGTGTAAAGTTGGATTTTTTTTTGGGGGGGGGGGTCCACACCTGGTGCTGCCAGGGCTGACTCCTGGTTCTGCACTCAGGCAGTGCTTGGGTGACCATATGGGACGCTGGGGATCGAACCCAGGTTGGCCGCGTGCAAGGCAAACGCCCTACCCGCTGTACGATCTCTCTGGCCCCAAACCCAAGAATATCTGATCTGAAAAGTATTGGGAATTTTAAGCCAGGATGTAAAGTTGGATTTTTTTGGGGGGGGGGAGGAGGGGAGGGTGTTCCACACCTGGTGCTGCTCAGAGCTGACTCCTGGTTCTGCACTCAGGAATCATTCCTGGAGGTTCTTGGAGGGATCCTATGGGACGCTGGTGATCGAACCTGGGTTGGCTGTGTGCAAGGCAAATGCCCTCCCCGCAGTGCTATCGCTTCAGCCCCTGAATTTGGATTTATTATTATTTATTTTTGGTGGAGGGGGCTGTACCTGGCAGTGCTCTGGTGCCAGGAATCCAACCCAAGGTGCTCTCCGCCAGGCATACATTCCTGCCCTTTGTGCCAGCATTATCTTGGCCCTGGCTCTATATTTTTTTTTTGTACTGATTTATAACTTTTATTTGCATATTAAATTTTTATTAATATAGTTGCTTTATCAACTACACACTAAATGAAGATAACCTTTCTTTTTTTTTTTTTTTTTGAGGACAATTCTTTTTTATTTTTTTTTTTTCTTTTTTATTAGTGAAACGACATGAGGTACAGTTGTAGATTTACAAATTTTTGTGCTTGGCCTGGCTCTATATTTTTAAAAGAAACGAGAACTTTGTCCTTCTCTGAGAAAATGCAAAGAGTTCCCAGAGTTAAGACGCGGAGTAAGGTTCCAAGTGCTAGTTCGAGCACATTCATTTCCTGTTAAAGGAACTGCATTTTGCAGCATTAGAAACTTAAGCGGCACTTTTGCTAGGAAAAGTTGCTCTGAGGTTATTTTCTTCAGGAGATAGAATCTCTTCAGTCACAGGTTCCCAATTAATTTGGCCTACTGCCCTCTTTGCAGAAACAAAACAAAACAAAACAAAAAACCCACCAGTTACTCCCTCTTCCCCAGAAATCTATCTCAAGTAAACAGAAAGTGTACCCCCACCCCAAAATGCCAGAAGCTACTATAGAGGTACCCCAAGGCATATCATCCACTCTGGAAAACACAGCTATGGATTTTTTTTCTATATTTTTTTTCTTCTTGGGTCACACACAGCGATGCTCGGGGGTTACTCCTGGCTCTGTGCTCAGGAATCACTCCTGGCGGTGCTTGCGGGACCCTATGGGATGCCAGGGATTGAACCCGGGCTGGCCGCATGCAAGGCAAACGCCCTTCCCACTATGCTATCGCTCAGGTCCAAAGATTTATTTTTGTTTGGGGGGGGCCACGCCCAGTGGTGCTCAGGGCTTACCCCTGGCTCTGCAGTTACGGACCACTCCTGGCAGGGGCTGGCCACATGTGGTGCCGGGGATCGAACCTGGGTTGGCTGCATGCAAGGCAAGCGCCCTCCCTGCTGTGCTATCGCTCTGGCCTTGCTACGGATTCCTTACCAAAAATAAAAAAATAAAAATGGAGACGTTTGAAAACAGCAAAGCAAACAGGAAAAGGAATTTTACCCATGCAAAAGTAGAGGAAGGGGGGAGGGAGAGATAGCACGGTGGGTAAGGCTTTTCACGCGGCCAACCCAGGTTCGATTCCCAGCATCCCATAGGGTCCCCTGAGCACCACCAGGAGTAACTCCTGAGTGCAGAGCCAGGAGGAACCCCTGAGCATCGCCAGGTGTGGCCCAAAAAGGAAAAATAAAAAATAAAAAAACTAAAGGAAGAGACTGAAATGGCTCGTCCTGAAGATTCTTACGATACCAAGAAGGGTGGCACCAGGGACATGGCCCAGAGGCCTGAAGAGAAGTCCAGGGTTCGATTCCCAGCACTGTATGGTCCCCAGAGCATGGCCAGGTGTGGCCCCCAACACAAAGCGTGTCAAATAACAGAGCAGGGAGACGCCTTAACTAGTTGGCCTGGGTTCGAGATTCTTTTTTTCTCGATTTGCCTTTTCCTTTTACATTCTCCACTGTAAGACAACACACCCTCCCACCACACTCTCCCGCTTAAAACAGGCGTTCCACACGTTTAACACAAGTTCAGGGGTTCCCAGAGGCGTATTCGATATGCCAAAACAGTAACAACAAGTCTCACAATGGAGAGGTTACGTGTGCCTGCTCGAACAAATCGATGAACAACGGGACGACAGTGCCACAGTGCTACCTATATCCTTATTTTTTATTTTACAAGTTAGTTTTGACTTATGTCACTTTTATGATGAACTAAAAATGACAGCTTGTCAAATGCTTTTTTTTTTTAATTTTATTTTTTTATTATTATTTTTTTTACAGTTGTAGATTTACAATTTTTTGTGCTTGGGTTTCAATTATACAATGATCAGATACCCATCCCTCCACCAGCGCCCGTTTTTCACCACCATGGATAATATCCCTCCCACCCCCATCCCCCCATCCCCCCCTGCCTCTGTGGCAGGGCAATCCCCTGTGTTCTCTCTCTCCTTTTGGGTGTTGTGGTCTGCAAAAGAGGCATTGAGTGGCAAACATGTTCAGTCCATAGTCTACTTTCGACATGCATCTCCCCTCCTGGGAGGATCCTCCAAACATCCTTTATTTGGTGCTCCCTTCTCTATCTGAACTGCCCTTTCCTCTAGGATACCCGGCTGGCCTCTAAGTTATGGAGTAATCCTCCTGGTGCTGATCTCAGCTATTCTTGGGTATTAATCTCATACTTTGTTCCTTTATATCCCCCAGATGAATGCAATCTTTCTATGTCTATCCCTCTCTTTCTGACTCATTTCGCTTAAATGCTTTTTTTTTTAATCGAGCTTTAATGCACACTTCTGAGTACTGGCTGTGGTTTAAGGGTCATTAACTATTCGTATTGAATATTTTTATCCCAAGTACGTTTTCCCAGAAAACTGTGAGTGAAACTTCAATAACTGAAAATACGTGGAATATTGGGAATTTCGGACAAGTCAAATTTCCCAAACTAACATGGATCCAGAAATTGTGTGAGGCAAAAACTGAAAAGTAACTTAATTTGGGCGGGAGCAATAGCACAGCGGGTAGGGACTTGCACATGGCCAACCTGGCTGACCCAGGTTCGATTCTTCCATCCCTCTCGGAGAGCCCGGCAAGCTACCGAGAGTATCTCGCCTGCACGGCAAAGCCTGGCAAGCTCCCCGTGACGTATTTGATATGCCAATCACAGTAACAACAAGTCTCACAATGAAGATGTTACTGGTGCCCGCTCGAGCAAATCGATGAACAGCGGGAGGACACTGCTACAAGTGGCTGCAAGTATCGTGCAGTTGGTAAGGCCCTGCATGCAGCCAACCCGGGTTTGATTCTCAGCACTGTGTAGGGTCCCCTGGGCCATGCCGGGGCCGAGCCAGAAGTTAAGTCCTGAGAGCAGCCAGGTGTGCACCCCCACCCCAAGAGTGATGAATGGCTGGGGTACTTAAGGAGCACAAAGCATCCCTGTGGGTTCTATAGGGCCCATTGGGTTCTATCGTGTGGGGTTGGGTCTACGGTTGAAGTTTTGTCTCTGCACCAAAGGACCACAGGTCAGCTTCAGGCTGATGAAGGCACGGAGGGATTGGGGGGGAGGGGTGTTCCCCAGAGACTGTGTCCCACTTTACTGCAGGGGCGGGGGGACAGAGCTGGGATGAGGGGGTGACCTTCATGGCTAAAACCCTGAGTTCTGTCCCTTCTGGTCTTAGTGACCCCAGCACCGCTGGGTCCCGGCTGACCTAGCACTTCTAGGACTGAGCTCTAAAGCCTCCTGTGTCTTTCTTGGGAGCCCCCCACCCTTTAAAAACAACCCCCTAAATCCCAGACCTGTTGTTGCATCCCGTGTGCTGCAGCGCCCCCTTGTGTACGGGCTGGGTGCCGACCTCCCCACACTGTGGCTTCTCACGGGAATTTTTTCCCTTTTGTTTTCAGTTTCTTTCAAAAAGGGGATTTATTCATCCTTTCCCATCCTCTTTTAGCTTATTATTATTTATTCATCCGCTTCCCTTGGGACCTTCCCCCCCAGACCACGGGCCAAGCCTTTGGGTTATCTGACCCTGAATTCCTCAGGAAGGTGAGGTCTTATCTGGGGGTAGTTACTGAGGTGACAAATGGGTCCGGCTTCCCCTCACTGGAAAAGGGACGTTCCAGCCATTCACGGGGACCCCCGAGCCCAGCTGACCCCCTTCTGCAGATTTGCTCTTTCTGAAGCAACCGGATAAAGTGTCAAGATGCTTTTTCACTCTCTGAAAGTGGATTCTTGAGTTGCTAGCTCCTGCCCGGCCCATGACATTCCTGGGGAAGTGAGTCAGCTCTGGGCTGCTAGCAGAGGTTGCCTGGGGTGAACTGGGGTGGAAAATGGCACCAGACTCTCCTGGTGAACCAGAACCAACCAACACAGACCAGGAATAGATAGACAAGTTCCTTCCCGGTGGGGCTCACCTAGCAAGCATGCGAGAGGTTACGGGCTGGCCCCCGATTTTGGATAAACAAAACTAAGCAGAACCACCATCTCAGGGCAAAATAACAGCAAAGCACACCTCGGACACACAAAGCCAGCGTGAGGTTAGTTGGCTTATTTATTTCCTGCGTGCCACTCAGTGGCCCTTGAATGTCATTTCAAGGATAAGTCTCTGTAGTCCTTCGTTTACGATCTTGAGTGTCCTCGTCTCGAACACGTCCCGTTCCTCCACAAACTTCTCAAACAGATGGACACCACCACCGACGCCAAAATAATGTGCCTTGCTGGCCAGGAGCACACGGCCCCCCCTGGCCAGCAGTTTCTGCAGCGTCTGGTGCAAAGCCTGGTAGTAATCCGGGTTGTAAATGGTTTCGGAAGTCAGAATGAGATCGTACTTTTCGAAGGGCTCTGCACCGTCTAGGACAACCTTGCAGAACTCAGACCATTCTCCGGAGAAGAACCGGCAGCGACCTGGCTTGGGGGCTCCGTTTGAACCCCTGCATCTTAGCACTGGGTCCTCGTCTGTGTCTTCCAGAGCGGCGTTGGCTGCTACATTAGGTATGGTGACTTCTTGGATCACCGTGCTGTTGTAATCCTGAAAATGAATTTCCTGGGCGCCCCTCCGGAGCGCGATTAGACCCAGCAAGCCAGACCCACAGCCCAGATCCAACACCTTTTTCCCGGCAAACTGCACGGCGGACTCAGTACAATAAGCTAGGAGGTCAAAGGTGCACTCCCAGATTTTCAATCCTCCTTCGTACACCCCGGGAATCAGATCGGAGTGAGCGGAAAAAGTTCGTGAGATGATGTTTTCTCCTGGGAAGTTCTCTGTCAACAAGGCGGTTTTCACCAGGGACAGACCAATGTCCTCCAGGCCGGGGACCGTTTCCAGGACTCTATTCTCCAGCACTTTCTTGAGGTCACTAGGCATCGGGTGCTCTTTGGCAACTCTCAAGCTGGTCTGTTCTTCACGTGGCTCCCCGTGACTGGGACTTTTAGCTGCGCTGCAGGTATATGCAGTCTCTTGGGATGATGGTGCATCACTCAGCAATGCAGGTGAACACTTTCTGTCTCTCCGTTGATCCTTTTGACTTCCTGAGACGGAGGAGTCTTTTGAGGAATCCTGGGTCAGAGGTCCACCCCCAACGGGTGTCAACTCAGCTTCCACAAGGTCTGGTATTGTGAAGTTAAATTGAAAGGTCATCTTCTCCTTAAATGCACTCTGCAACCTAAGGAAGATGCTTCAGCTCCTGGGTGGATGCAGTGAATTGTGCAGAAGCCCACCTCAATGACTTAGAATCGCTGGAGTCCACTTCTCTTAAGTCTCTTTCTGCTCATACACACTAATACACAGAGCTAGTTGCAGAGAGCTCTGGAGGAAAAGAAAAGACTGTCATTAATAAGGGCAATTTGAAACGTTTTTACTGATACGAAACTGTCACCACCCCATAGAGCTTTTTTTCTTCAAGACTTATGGAGGTTTACACACACACACACACGTATATATACACACACGCATATATACACACACGCATATATACACACACGCATATATACACACACGCATATATACACACACGCATATATACACACACGCATACACACACACATGCATACACACACACGCATACACACACACATGCATACACACACACGCATACACACACACACACATGCATGCTTGTTGCATAAGAGAATAAGCTGTACGTTTGTTTGTTTTTTTTTGCTTTTTGGGTCACACCCGGCGATGCGATGCTCAGGGGTTCCTCCTGGCTCTGTACTCAGGAATTACTCCTGGCGATGCTCAGGGGACCATATGGGATGCTGGGATTCGAACCCAGGTCGGCCATATGCAAGGCAAACGCCCTCTCCGCTGTGCTATCGCTCCAGCCCCAAGAAGAGAATAAACTGTAGAAGCAAAGAAATTTGCAGTAACTGGGAACTAGTTTTCAGGTAGGATGTGACAAGCTTAGATTATCTGGCTGGTCAGGACCTATTATGACGTAGCCCGAACCTCTTCATTTCACTCTGGCCCCATCTGGAAGAGGGTGTCAGGACTTCATTGTGGCAAATAAACATCCCTTCTAGAACATACATTTGGGCTTTTCTGTATGTCACTTCATTCAATCTCTGCAAAAAGTATTGTAAAGGACAAACATTGGTTTGTCCTTTCTCCTTTGCCACAGGGAGCTTAGGTTTATTGGGCTACACTCATCACAGTGCTCCTGAGGCACTCCCATTCCTTTGTGTTTATCTTTAATCTCTTCTCTGTGTTCATTTCCCCTATTGGTTAATCACCATTATCCCCCAAATCAGACCCTATTATGACTTGTAAGATCAGATTCTACTAGGGACTCTGAATTTTGTGACTGTAGTGAAATAATTGCTTGTCTCTTTCCCTTATGTCCTTTGCATAGTTTATTTTATTTTATTCTATTTTTTTCTTTTGGGGGCCACACCCAGCGATGCACAGGGGTTCCTCCCGGCTCATGCACTCAGGAATCACTCCTGGCGGTGCTTGGGGGACCCTTTGGGATGCTGGGGATCGAACCCGGGTCGGCCACTGTGCAAGGCAAACGCCCTACCTGCTGTGCTATCGCTCCAGTCCCCACAGTTTATTTTAGAGCAATGTCCTTTTTGTATAGACACGGGAAGACAGTTAATGCTCTGCTCTTGTAACTTGGAGTTAATAGACTCTGAATAATATTCACTCCTGGGCATCTGTTCTCTCGACTTAAGCCTCAGTTGCCCTTACTTCCAGGCACCCAAAAAGCAGGGTCCTGATGAGGGACTGGAAGGACCCAGGGCAAGCTGTGGGCTACCCTGGCATCGAAACGGGCCAGGCCAAGCGCCACAATACTTAACTCTAAGAACATGGTCATGGACGAATTCTGTCATGATCCAAGGAGTAACTGTTGTTAACTGGATGAGGACCCTGCTAGGGTTAGGAAAGACTAATCTGGGCTGAGCACCGTAGTCTGAGATCTGTCGGGAGATGTCCCCCAGGAGAGCCACCCTGTAAGTTTGACGTAGCTCTTGTCTGTCCATACAAAATGAGTAACAGAGCAGGATGATCAGAAGCCCCGGGTGGGTCGATTCCGGACTATTCATCAAGAGGAACTGCACGCACCCTCCCCACCCCAAAGTCAATGAACCTGAGGGCCCGGTGGGCACCTAATCTGCACCACCTGCTCCAAGCTGCACAAGGACCCTCCCAGGCGGCGTCTTCATTTCCATTTCCCAGGAGCTGGAGGCCGGGACTCACCGCCAGCCGCAGATCCCGGTCTCCCCCGGCGCCCCCCGGGCAACCGCCCAGCTCCACGGGGCAGGGCGAGGCCACAGTGGGCACCTGCAGTCATGCCCTCCCGAAAGCTGTTGCTCAGACCCTGCAGTGAGCGACCCAGCCCGCAGCCCACGTGCTGCCCATCAACTCGCCGGGCAAAAAACCCGTCGCGCACTCATGACGTCAGCGGGACGGCGAGTCGAGTCCTCCGAGGGCCAGAGAAGCCCGACGACGCTCTAGCCCGCGGACGCGTGTCGTCTCGATAGCGAGGGCTGAGCGCTCCGCCCAGAGTCGCCGGAACTTCCGGTCGCGGCGGTCAGATTCGGGCTCGTCGGAGCGCAGGGAGCGGCGCCCCGGCCGCCGGGAACTTCCGGTGTCCGGGAACTTCCGGTCGCGGCTGTGGCGGGGCGAGTCCAGCTGGGCGCCGAGCCCCGGAGGCCGGAGACTTCCGGCGCCCGGGGACTTCCGGCGCCCGGAACTTCCGGTGCCCGGGGACTTCCGGCGTCCGGGACTTCCGGCCGCGGCGGTGTGGCGGGACGGTTCGAGTCGCGCTCCGCCGGCACTCGCGGCGCGGCGGGGCGCGGGTTCGAGGCGCGGGTTCGAGGCGCGGGTTCGAGGCGCCGGCGGCATGGCGCGCATCGCGGCGCGGGAGGAGCTGGAGCGGCTGCGCGGCTGGCCCGAGGCGCGCTGCCGCCGGGAGCTCTCGGCCGTCCTGCCGCGGCTCCTCATATCCTGCCGTCCACACCCGCGCGGGCCGGGGGACACGCTGGGGGGGCGCCGTCCACACCCGCGGCCGAGGGGCTGCACTGCTAGCGGCTCGGGGCTGGGGGAGCTACTACCACTGGCTCGGGGCTGCAGGGATGCTACTACCGGCTCGGTCCCATGATCTACTACTACCGGCTCGGGGCTGCAGCGAATTACTACTACTGGCTCAGGGAAGTGGGGCTACTACTACCGGCTCGGTCCTATGGATCTACTACTACTGGCTCAGGGCTGGGGGGCTACTACTCACCGGCTCAGTCTTCTGGATCTACTACTATCAGCTCGGGGCATAGGGGCTACTACCACCAGCTTGGGGCTGGGGGGTTACTATGATCAGCTTTGTCTTGGGGGGCTTCTACTGTCATCTCGGTGCTGGGGGGCTTCTACTCCAGGCTCCGTGCTGAGGGGCTACTACTACCGGCTCGGTCCTATGGATCTACTACTACCAGCTCAGGGCCGAGGGGCTACTGCTACCGACTCAGGGCTGGGGGGCTACTATTATCGGCTTGGTCTTGTGGGGCTACTACTACCGGCCCAGAGCTGAGGGGCTTCTACTACTGGCTCAGTCCTGTGGGGCTGCTACTACCGGCTCAGTGCTGGAGGGAGGATAAGGGGGTGTCGGGGATTGAACCGGGTAGCTACTACTACCGGCTAGGGCACATGCAGGGCTGGGGTGGCTACTACTACCCGCTAGGTGCTGGGGGGGGGGGGGAATAAAGATGGGGGTTGGGGATTGAATCGAGTTGGCTACAACTACCGGCTTCAGGCATATGCAGGATGCGGGGTGGCAACTACTACCGGCTCCGCGCTGGAGGGGGCCCGGGGGGTCGGGGATTGAGTCAGGGGTGCGGGGCGGCTCCCACCAGCTCAGTGCTGGAGGCAGGTCAGTGGGGCTCAGGGATCGAAGAGGGGGTGATTTCTGCCCCCTGCTTGGGGGTGTGGGCGGCGGCTACTACTACCACCGGCTTGGTGCTGGGCCCACCGCTTGTACTCTCTCACGGCCCGTTAAGATTTTAAAAGCAGAGGGGCTGGAGCAATAGCACAGCGGGGAGGGCGTTGGCCTTGCATGCAGCCGACCCGGGTTCGATCCCCGTAGGCATCCCATGGGGTCCCCTGAGCACTGCCAGGAACTAGGAGTCAGCCCTGAGCATCTACCGGGTCTGACCCAAAAAGCAAAAAATAAAAAGCAAACTAGGGGCTGGAGTGATAGCACAGCGGGGAGGGCGTTTTTTGTGCATGCGACCGACCCGGGTTCGATTCCCAGCATCTCCTAGGGTCCCCCGAGCACCGCCAGGAGTGAGTCCTGAGTGCAGAGCCAGGAGTCAGCCCTGAGCATCGCCGGGCGTGACCCAAAAAGCAGTGTAGCAGTGTCCTCCCGTTATTCATCGATTTGCTCGAGCAGGCCCAGTAATGTCTCCATCTCCATCGTGAGACTTGTTACTGTGTTTGGCATATCGAATTTGAGACTCTCGGTAGCTTGCCAGGCTCTCCGAGAGGGGCAGAGGAATCGAACCCAGGTCAGCCAGGTCAGCCGCATGCAAGGCAAACACCGTACCCAAAAAGCAAAAATAAAATAAATTTAAAGGCAGAAATGAAGCCCGTGATTCAAGGTGGATTGTCCTTTTGCTGCCCAGTTGCTTCCAGTTCATGAGAGGAGTTTCTCAAACGAGTTCTTCCCGGGGCCTCAAGAGAGCAACGGGGTGAGCACGCAGACCTTGCTTGGGTTCGAGTGAACTCCCTGGAGTGGTTCCTGAGCACAGAGTCGGGAATAAACCCAGAGCATTGCCGGGTGTGACCCCACACCAAAACATTTATAAAAAAAAGTATGGAAAATAAATACAAACAACAGAGTAGGCCATTGCTTCCGTTTCAGTGTCTTCCTTAACTGTGTCACTCCATGTTTCAGGAGGCCGATGACTGGGCCGAGCATATTCGTGAGTAAACTTGGCTTCTGGGCCGTGACTTGCCGTGGATGTTAAGGTCTGCCAGGCACAGTCTCACTGCAGTTTCTTCCTCAAATCTGAATCTGCGGGGGCTGGAGCAGTAGCACAGCGGGGAGGGTGTTTTGCACGTGGCTGACCTGAGTTCGATCCCGGCATCCCATAAGGTCCCACGAGCACTGCCCGGGGTAACCCCTGTGCATCGCCAGGTGTGACCCAAAAAGCAAAAAAAAAAATTGGATCTGCTGCCCTGATTCTAGGGATAGGATGTCTGTCAAAGGCAGTGTATTGTTTTAAAGGTTGAGTGGATCGGGGCTGGAGCAATAGCACAGCGGGGAGGGCGTTTGCCTGGCACACGAACAACCCGGGTTCGATTCCCCGCATCCCATATGGTCCCCTGAGCACTGCCAGGGGTAATTCCTGAGTGCAGAGCCAGGAGGAACCCCTGTGCATCGCCGGATGTGATCCAAAAAAAAACAAAAAACATAAATAAAGGTTGAGCGGATCAGACTTCAGCATTTTCAGATAGGAAACATAATTTGAAATCTGCTTTCTAAAGTCAGCTTCATGTGAGTTCTTGGATTTAGAAAAAAATGTTTCTAATTGGCAAAAAGCCGGTGTGATGTAGGTGATGACGGCCTTATCATTTGGAAAAAAGTCCATTTTCTCATTTTTGCGGAGTCGAGAGAGGAGATACAGAGGAGACTGCATGATGCTTTGAAGTCGTTTATTCTGCTGTACCTTTCAATTCGCTGTGGACTGTTTATTTTAAATCTAGTTTACTGTTGGGGTCCGATTCTTTTTTTTTTAACATGGCCATTAATTTTTACTCTGTGTATGAGAACTCTGCTTCTTCACTATTGAAATTTCGAAACATACTGGAGCGATAGCACAGCGGTAGGGCGTTTGCCTTAGAAGCGGCCAACATGGCCAACCCGAGTTCGATTCCTCCGCCCCTCTCGGAGAGCCCGGCAAGCTACCGAGAGTATTTGATATGCCAGACACAGTAACAACAAAGTCTCCAATGGAGACGTTACTGGGCCCGCTCGAGCAAATCGACGATCAACGGGAGGGCCTTTACCTTTACCTTTACACAGGTAGAAAAGGTCATGAAACATCCATCCTGTAGCCTGAATCGCCCACTCTCATCTCATTTCTCTGTACGCATACCGATCTTCTATGAACTCTGCTTGTATCCTGTTATACTCTGAAATCCAGATGTGTGCTTGCACATTTTCCCGCATCTTAAGCGAGCTGTTGGCGAGTGTGTGGAGTGTTCGGTTGTGCCTGCTTTCATTCACCTGCCCTCAGCTGCTGTCCTGGGGGGCTTCCCTTGGGCTGTAGTTTCAGACGCCCCCCGCCTCCAGCTCCCGCCCCTATGGGCTGTTGCTTGAAGGTCCACGCACATTCCACCCTTGGGAAATCGCAGGACCCTTTGTTGAGCGACTTCTCCGCCCTTCCCTGCAAACATGCCATCGTCTTCCGTCATAGGAATTCTGAAAACGGCCATAGACATGTTTGTGCCCCATGTGGACCGCCAGATGCTGGAGGAGTCCTTCTTTTCACAAGTGCTGCCGAAGGTACCGTTGCATCGACCTGCCTGTCATAGGCTGTGGAGATTGACCTCAGTGGTAGATTATTTTTCATCTTCCCTTTAGCGAACATCTGGAAGACAGCTTGTAGTAACAGAAAGAACGCTCATGAACGTTTGATGGTGTTTGTGTAATCATTTATTGTAGCCAGGGAAGTACCTTGAGGACCAGATGGCACATCTTTTGCATGTCGGAGACTCAGGTGCTATACTTGGTACCTTAGGGTACCAAGAGCAGTGCTGGGTGTGACCTCCGATCCAAAAATAAGGGCTAAAAGGGATTGTGTTTTCAGATACTGAGGATATTTTGTTAACTGGACTTGAATTATTTGTAACCCTTTCAGACAACTTTTACTCATTTTTATTTTTTTTATTTTTTATTTTTTATTTATTTTTTTTTTTTGCTTTTTGGGTCACACCCGGCGATGCACAGGGGTTACTCCTGGCTCTGCACTCAGGAATCACTCCTGGCAATGCTCAGGGGACCATATGGGATGCTGGGAATCGAACCCGGGTCGGCTGCGTGCAAGGCAAACGCCCTACCCGCTGTGCTATCTCTCCAGCCCCACATTTTTATATTTTTTGCGTTTGCAGGAATACCTGACCATGGGAATGGTATTTTAAGTTGGTCAAAAGAGAGCCTGTGTGGGACTGGAGAGATAGCACAGCGGGTAGGGCGTTTGCTTTGCACGCAGCCGGCCCAGATTTGATTCCCAGCATCCCATATGGTCCCCTGAGCACCGCCAGGAGTGATTTCTGAGTGCAGAGCCAGGAGGAACCCCTGTGCATTGCCGGGTGTGACCCCAAGAGCCAAAAAAAAAAAAAAGAGAGCCTGTGTGATTGTTGATTAAGAGTAATTACTCAATGGTAGTTGCATAGTCAGAAATATTTTCATTGATGTTATTTAGTAGCTCAAGATGGAAAAATAATCCATTTCTGTCTGCAGCTTTATTTAAAAAATTACATTGCATAAATAGCATATATATATTCGATATGGTTAAAATTATAGCAGTGTCTTGAAATATATACTGAGAAACCTGGGCTGGAGCGATGGTACAGTGGGTAGGGTGTTCGCCTTGCACAGGGCTGACCTGGGTTCAATTCCTCTGCCCCTCTCAGAGAGCCCGGCAAGCTATGAGAGCATCCCACCCACACGGCAAAGCCTGGCAAGCTCCCTGTGGCGTGTTCGATATGCCAAAAACAGTTTAACAACAAGTCTCACAATGGACATGTTACTGGGCCCGCTCGAGAAAAATCAGTGAACAACAGGAGGACAGGACAGTGACAGTGACTAAGAAACCTGTCTATTTAGTCTTTTTGGTACAATTGTTAAGCTAGACAAGACCCCTCGAGTGTTTGTAATGCAAAAGCAAATCACCTAATTTTTTATAAAGAGGTTCAGATGAGGTTTTTCTTACTCCTGTGTGTAATCTTTTTTACAGACTGTGAAGTTATTTGATGACATGATGTGTGAGTTAACTAGTCAAGCTAAAGGACTCTCGAGCCAAAATTTGGAAATCCAGACCACCCTGAGGAATATTTTACAAGTAAGCCAGATAAATCACAAGGAAGTTTTGAATGGGGGCATTTTAATATTAATTATCCATGGGCTGGAGCAATAGCACAGTGGGGAGGGTGTTTGCCTTGCACGTGGCCAACCTGGGTTCAATTCCCAGCATTCATTATGATCCCCCGAGCATCACCAGGAGTAATTCCTGAATGTATGAGCCAGGAGTACCCCTGTGCAACATCAGGTGTGACCCAAAAAGCAAGAAAAACCATATATATATATATATATATATATATATATATATATATATCATCCATATATTTTCTGTGTCTGGCCTAAAGCTTGAAATAAAATTTTAGACTAAAGCTATACATGCAGAAATTAAATGCCGAATTCTTCGTATAGTTTTCCACGGAATAAACCTAAGCATTTACAAGACAAGATAGCATGCCCTGCCGGTAACATCAAGTATTTGCATAGGACACCTGGCCTATGTTTATGTTTTGGGTTTAATGTCCAGTCATGAGTCATTTCCAATACTTGCAGCTCTAGGAGAATGTGTTGCTACTCTAGGGGAAGCATGTTTGTTCTCACTGGTAGATTCCTGTGTCTGATCGATTCTGAATGAAGCTTGTTTTCCTTATTTTTCAGACAATGGTGCAGCTCTTGGGGGCTCTGACGGGGTGTGTTCAGCATGTCTGTGCCACGCAGGAATCTGTTGTTCTGGAACACATCCATAGTCTTCCCTCTTCTGTCCTCCGCGTCATTAAAAGTACATTCGTCCATTGTAAGGTGAGTGATAGACCAAGAGGCCCAGAGTCCGGGCCACGGGACCGAGTACAACCGCGTTTGCTCTGAGGATTTGCCATTTATCCTAGAGAACCGGAATGAATCGACTTCTCGATAGGCTAAATTTGGTATTTTAAATTGGAGTTCATAGTAGAAAATGCAGTTTTCATTCTCTCCCATTTAATAAATAATAAATAAATTTATTATTATTTAATAAATTTTCATTTATTAAGCTTGTGTGTGAATAATTGTTTCAAAATCGTAGCTATAGAAAGTTAGACAAAATGGGCTTTTGTGCTTGATTCTCTATAAAAAAAAGTATGGACTTGCTGAGACCACTGGGATGCATCATGGTAGGTCATGTGAGTTCCTTGGTGATTAGGTCTTGAGAAAGAGTTTCACCGTTCCTTTGTCCATCCGCTCATTTATGGGGCTCTTGCAGAGTGACCAGCGGTTTGTGCTGAATGAAGATCACTGGCAACTGCCCTGGTGGTGGGCGCCAAGATGCCAGGCCCTAACCTAACGTCCTCTCTCCTCTTTAATTGTGTTTCCAAGACTTGGCGAGTCAGATGTATCTTATAACTGTGGGCGTCCCTTGAAGTAGACTAAGGATGTTGACGAAACACGATGTCATTTAATAAGCAAATATGTGACTTGTTAAAAAGCATCACATTTACGGTCTTTTTTTTTTTAATGTTGGGTTTTTAAAAAATATATATATATATTTAATTTTTTGTGTTTGGGGCCAAGCACCTGGTGATGCTCGGGGGTTACTTCTGGCACAGCATTGAGGAGTTACCCTTTTGGCACTGCTTGTGGGATGTTGGGGATCGAACCCGGGTCAGCCTCATGCAAGGCACATGCCCTCCTCGCTGTACCATCTCTCCAGTCCCAGCATTTATGATCTTTATTTATTTGTTTTTGCTTTTTTGGGTCACACCTGGTGATGCACAGGGGTTACTCCTGGCTCTGCATTCAGGAATTACTCCTGGCGGTGCTCAGGGAACCATATGGGATGCTGGGAATCGAACCCGGGTCGACTGTGTGCAAGGCATACGCCCTCCCCGCTGTGCTATCGCTCCAGCCCCAGCATTTATGATCTTTAATAGAATGTATTGAAATAAACTTGGCTCTTGCAAATTTTAATGACTTCGCTCTTCTTCTGTCCTTTGTGATCAGAATAGTGAGTCTGTCTACTCTGGGCGTTTGCACCTCGTTTCGGATCTTCTCCAGGCTCTGTTCAAGGAGGCCTATTCCCTCCAAAAGCAGCTCCTAGAACTGCTGGATATGGTCTGCGTGGAACCGGGGGCTGATGACAACGATGGGACTGTGGGTATGGTCCTTGGTGAGTGAGGAAAACTTCTTACTCTAACGCTGTCAGTTGCTTTATTAAATCTAGTATTGTTTCTAATGATTTGGGACATTTTACTCATTAGGCAATTTAAAAAAAAAAATGGGCACTGGTGGAGGGATGGGTATTTGATCATTGTATAATTGAAACCCAAGCAAAAAAATGTGTAAGTCTGCAACTGTACCTCATGATGTCTCACTATTAAAAAATTTTTTTAATAAAAAAAAAGTTTAAAAAAAAAAAACCCAAACTGTCTAATGCATTTTTAGTGTTAAATACTTTAGAACTTGTGAAATGGATATCTGATGCTTTAACAGATTTTTATATTTAGTTTATGTTCGTAATAGATCATTTCCCCACAAGGGTTTTAAAAATATGCAACTTCATCAGAGCCTTTCAAATCGCTGCATTCTGAGGTGGTATTTTAAATTGGAGTTCATAGTAGAAAATGCAGTTTTCATTCTCTCCCAGATACATATTAGTAGGAGTGCATATGTTTATTATATATGGAACGGTGCCCTTTTTATGTGTGAGTAAGCTGGTCCTTTTTTTTTTCCTTTTCTGATTTTTTTTTTGTTTATTTTGTTTTGGGGCCATACCCAGAGCTTATTATTCCTGGCTCTGCACTCAGGAATTGCTCCTGGTGGGCTTGGGGGGTATGGAATGCTGGGGATCGAACCTGGCTGGCCATGTGCAAGGCAAACGCTTTAAACCCTGTGCTCTCTCGGGCTCCGAAGTTGCATTACTTCTTTCAATAAAGGTCAGAATTGTTCAGTACTCCTTAGAAACGTAAGGGAAATTCATGACACCTGGAATGTTCTCTTCCTTGTAGTTATTCACTCGTTGTTGGACATCTGCTCTGTGATTTCCGGTATGGACCACGCATTTCATGCCAACACTTGGAAATTTATAATTAAGTAAGTTTTAAAATTCATTCTTTATTTTTACCTGGAGTGCATTTTTTATGTCCCAAGATTCTAATTATTTACAAGTTCTGTTGCACTGTGCTTAGGGTGTTTTTTTTTTTTTTTTTGCCTTTTGGGTCACACCTGGCGGTGCTCAGGGGTTAATCCTGGTATAGCTCAGGGGGACCACGTGGGATGCCAGGGATTGAATCTGGGTTGGCTTGTGCAAGGCAAACGCCCTCCCCACTGTCCTCTCATTCCGGCCCCTGCGCTGCGTTTAGAATACTCCTTTGTCTTCTTATTCCTTTTTTTTTCTTTTTGGGTCACACCCGGCGATGAACAGGGGCTCCTCCTGGCTCTGCACTCAGGAATTACTCCTGGCGCTGCTCGGGAGACCCAATGGGCTGCTGGGAATCAAACCTGTGTTGGTCGCGTGCAAGGCAAACGCCCTCCCTGCTGTGCTATCGCTCCAGCCCCTGTCTTTTTATTCTGACGCCTCGGAAACCAGTTCCCACCTCCTTTGCTCTTGCTTATGAAATCACAGGCTAGTGACCCTCCACTGCGTGCCCACTGGCCTTATGGTGGCCTGTTCCCAGGCCTCTGTCACATACAGACTGTAGCTAGAGCGGATGTCTGCCTTCTTTTCAAGCACGGGTGCCTGTGGCCTCAGATCTTGGGGGCGGGAGGGTGTGGTCAGAGCGGTCACAGTGTCCAGGGCAATGGGCACTCAGGGACTATGGTGCTTTAGGGGCTTCTTACAGCGCCAGCTCATACAGTGCCGTCACGGCAGCTGGTGCTGTACGGAGCCATTCTCTGGGCCTTTCTCAACTGCTGGGCTGTTGGGTTCGTGTCCCGGAACCTTAGTCCGCTCCTCTGCAAGGGGAGTCTGTGGCACTGGGTGGGGCGTGGTGGCCCTGTGGCATGGCTCAGACCTCATTCCTGAACGGCTTCTTCATGCCCCACCAGCTCACGCTCTGCCCAGCATTCGGCCTGGTCTCTGTAAAAAATTTTTATTAGTGAAACACCATGAGGTACAGTTGTAGACTTACAAATTTTTGTGCTTGGGTTTCAGTTATACAATGATCGAGTACCCATCCCTCCACCAGCGCCCATCCTCCACCACCACGGGTCCCAGCATCCCTCCCACCCCCCGTTCCCCCTATCCCACCCTGCCTCTGTGGCAGGGCATTCCCCCTTGTTCTCTCTCTCTTCTTTTGGGTCCCGTGTTTTGCAAGAGAGGCATTGAGTGGTAGTCATGCTTGGTCTATAGTCTACTTTCAGCATGCTTCTCCCATCCTGGGAGGATCATCCCAGCACCCTTTATTTGGTGCTCCCTTCTCTATCTGAGCTGCCTTTACCCCTAGAGTGTGCGGCTGTCGGCCTGGTCTTGAGAGCAAACTGGGTTGTGTCCTTCTATTGGCTGGAATCCACCCAGTTTCTCTGGGAGGAAGAATAGCCCCATCTGGGCCTCCCAGACTTGTCACTAGCCTGCCCGCCCGCCCACCCTACTTCCGGCTGTCCCTCACACTGCTCCTCCTGCCGGGGGCGCCTCTCCTGTTTTCCCGTCCCACCAGCACGTCTCCTCTGCTGGGTGTCCCTGCTTGTCCCCCTCCACAATCACAGCTTCTGCCTGCTGCACCCCTCCTAACCCCCTCCCACCGCTCCCAGCTCCCAGATGGCATGACCCCTCTGCGCCTCTTGCCCTGAGAATAAGTTCGCACCCATCTCCACATCCATCACTCCAGGCTTCTCCAGCCTACGAGGCTTCACAGCCACTTGGTAGCTCTCCTCATTCAAGCCCCTCGGGTTCTGCAGAGGAGACAATGGTTCATTCTCCCCTCTCTGTCCAGGGCCCAGCAGAGTATCGGCATCAGTTCAGTTAATGTTTTGCAAGGAAAGAAGAACTATTTAGCAGCTTGGGGCTGGAGCGATAGCACAGCGGGCAGGGTGTTTGCCTTGCACGTGGCCAACCCGGGTTCGATTCCCAGCATCCCATATGGTCCCCCGAGCACCGCCAGGAGTAATTCCTGAGTGCATGAACCAGGAGTAACCCCTGTGCATCGCTGGGTGCGACCCAAAAAAAAGCAAAAAAAAAAAAAGAACTATTTCACAGCTTAAAGTAGCATTGATGCCCTGGAAATGGAGTTGAAACGTCTCGTCTTTGTCCCGTCGTGTCTGACAAGGGTGGGGTGCGGTGGTTGTTTTCCACGCACATTCAGGTCACGTCTCGGGCCCCCAGTCACGTGCAGTGACCGTTGGCTTTTCTCTGCAATTCCTTAGGCAGAGCCTTAAACACCAGTCGGTTCTGAAGAGTCAGCTGGAACACAGAGCCATCGTCACAAGCCTGTGCGAGGACATGCTCTCTGCCTTCCATTCTTGCCTGCAGCTGGCGGAGCAGATGGCGCAGGCGACGGCACCGGTGGAAGACGGGGCGACAGCAGTCCGGGTGGGAGCGCTTCCCTCGGCACTTCGGGGGTCTCGGGATTAGTAAGAGGTGGCTTTCGTCTACCCGAATCATAATCGAATGACTTTTATTAGAGGGTTCAGATGAGCCTGAGGAGGTAGCTTAGCTTTGCCGGGGTGAGACCTGGGCTCATCCCTGACACAGTACAAGAGTCGTATTTGCTCACTGGATCATCCAGTTGGGTTGATTTAATGAAGGTTATGCTATATCTCTGGAGAGCAATTTTCTGTCCCCAGTTAGTGCTAAAGTTTATGTGCTACTTCCGGTGTTAATAATGTCAGTTGTAATAATGTAGCACTGCCCTCCCTTTGTTCATCAGTTTGCTTGAGCGGGTGCCAGTAATGTCTCCATCGTGAGACTTCTTGTTACTGTTTTTGGCATCAGGAATACACCACGGGGAGCATGCCAGGCTCTGCCATGCCGGGGGATACTCTTGGTAGCTTGCCGGGCTCTCCGAGAGGGGCGGAGGAATCAAGTGCGGAGGTGTTATTTTACATCTTCAGAAGTAAAGATAATTAATGTATCTTGGACAGTTTTCTTTAAAGCTTTTTGGGCTTTGTACAATGTTTGGGTGACCCGGTGGTCTGTTGAACCCTCACAGTAGCCCAGCGCCAGCCACATGGCTTTTCAGAGAGGGTTGCTGGCTCTGTTGATGTCACATGTGCCCACCGGTGGGTTCCCCTTGTCGTCTGCCCACCCAACTTTCTCATCTCTTTTTTTTTTGGGGGGTCATTCTCTGATGAGGTGTGGAAAACATCTTGTCTTGACTGTCTGTTAATTTGTAGCTAGTCGCAGCCTGCAGTAAGTCTCCCTGCTAAGTCTTCCCTTTAGAACCAGTCAGCTGTGCCATCACTCATCTTTGTGTTCGTGGGTTGGAGCGATAGCACAGCGGGGAGGGCGTTTGCCTTGCACGCGGCTGACACAGAGGTTCGAGTCCTCCGCCCCTCTCGGAGAGCCCGGCCAGCTACCGAGAGTATCTCGCCCGCACGGCAGAGCCTGGCAAGCTACCCAGGACGTATTCGATATGCCAGACACAGTAACTAGTGTCACAGTGGAGACGTTGCTGGGCCCACTCAAACAAATCGATGAACAATTCGTTTGAGGACAGTGACAGTGACAGTGTTCGTGGGTCCAAGATGTCTTTCCAGTGACTTAGAGCTTATTTTTGAAATATTTTGATGAGAATTGGTGTTGCTCCTAACAACAGCTCAGAGATTTGTTGACCTGGAAGATGTTTACACTGTGTGTATGTGCATTAAGAGATCTGGGAAAATAGAGTCACCCTTGCAAGTTTAACTAATTGCTTCTTCTTGTGCTTGTTTGGCTTTTGGAAACAGGAAAATGCCGACTACAAATTATTTCAGAAAACACTCAAATTGTGTCGTTTCTTTGCTAACTCCCTTTTGCACTACACTAAGGTAAGGACTATGTTTTTTATAGAGTGCTTAAATGTGAAATTTACAATAAAGTATAATTATCTTATTTTCATAATCCCTTCCAGAATCAGTCTTGAAGTTATTTGTCAAGAGTCTATTACAGTATTTTTAGTGGCATGTTATAGTTAGTATTGAATGTCTGTTCCATCTTTTTTTTTTATTAGTGAAACACCACAAGATACAGTTATAGACTTACAAATTTTTGTGCTTGGGTTTCAGTTATTCAATGATCAAGTACCCGTCCCTCCACCAGCGCCCATCTGTTACATCATTTTAAAATATTATCATTGTTGGTATTTTTAATTTTCTGAAAAATGATCTCTTAATACAAATATAAGGAAAATTCCTGTAAGCGTGAATAAGTTTCAGAAGATACTGAGTTTGCCTGTAAATACGATCTATAAATTACTTCTAGTACCTCTAAATTGGGTGGTTCAAGGTAAAAAGTTTAAACCTTGTGTCAGAGGTAGCGCAGTAGACTGCATGGCCCCTCACTTCGTAAGTGACAGCTGCCAATCACGGATGTGAGTACAGTTTTAATAGCATAGACTTTCACCAGACATTTAATAGTAAGGGATTTATTTATTTATTTATTTATTTTTTGCTTTTTGGGTCACACCTGGCGATGCACAGGGGTTACTCCTGACTCTGCACTCAGGAGTTACTCCTGGCGGTGCTCAGGGGACCCTATGGGATGCTGGGAATCGAACCCGGGTCGGCCTCGTGCAAGGCAAACGCCCTCCCCGCTGTACTATCTCTCCAGCCCCAAAGGGATTTGTTTTTATCTTCATGCCACAGCTATTTTTTTCCCTCGATGGGGCATATCCGGGATTCTCTTTTGATGCTTTTGAGAGACACATATTTAAAAGACAAAATATCCTGGACACAAAGACTGAAAAGAGTTGTTTGCTTTCAGGAATTTCTCCCCTTCCTTGCTGATTCTTGCTACGTGTTGCACCGACTTTATCTTCAGATACACAGGTGAGCTTATTAAGTTCTAACATGACATTACATATTTTTATTTTTATTTATTTATTTATTTATTTGCTTTTTTTTTTTGGGTCACACCCGACGATGCACAGGGGTTACTCCTGCCTCGTGCACTCAGGAATTACTCCTGGCGGTGCTCGGGGGACCATATGGGATGCTGGGAATCGTACCCAGGTTGGCCGCGTGAAGGCAAATGCCCTCCCCACTGTGCTATCGCTCCAGCCCCTGACATTACATATTTTTAAATGAAAAGCGTGTCATTTAAAAAGTATCTGTGTCAGTGAATTTTCATCTTGAAAATCATTGGAGACCTGGTTGTGTCTTACTTTGTTTTTCCTTCGTATTTTACTTGATCTTGTGTTCTTAACCTGTTACCTCACACCCAAGTGTTTTTGGTGTGGTGATAAATACCAGACCAGAGGCCCCCAAAAGGATTTTATATCCATGCACAGACTTTGATATGTTGCTTCTTTTTTTTTTTTGGTTTAGTAATTTTGGTTTACTTCTCTGAAATTAAATTTCCTTTCATTCATTTCTCTAACCCTTTGGTCTGCTCGAACAGCGGTTTTCGCGGCCTCCTGGCTTTTTGTCCTCCTAGTGTCGTGGAGCACCAACCCCCCCCCCCCCCCCCCACACACACACACACACACTCACATTCTTCCTCCCCCACCCCCAGTCGACGTAGTTTTCACCTGTGGCCCTCTTGGAATATCTGGGGTCCAGATACCGGAACCTTTTTTTTTTTTTTACCTGCACCTTTTTGAACCTTTCCTTGGTGCTCTGAGCAACGTCTGCTGCTTGTTTGATAGCTTCCTTTTCCGTAGCAGGTGGAACTCAAGGTGCTCTTAGCAGCTGGACACCTTCCTGGCCAGTGTCCCCTGTGGGCACCTCAGTGTCTGATGGACATTTGTCCATTTGTCAAACAAATCATCTTCGCTTTGATGCACAGCAGCTATAGGTCAATTCTGTGGAGTTTATTAACTGTTTGATTTGTCTATGTTTTCTACTTTATTTTTAATTTAATTTTCACAACTTCGAGTCACAAAATGAACGAATCCAAGTTACCCAACCGGTAACTAACATATGGTCGCTTTTTTCTCACCCGAGTCCCCCAGGGTTTGACCTAAGCGCATGCTTTTAAATGCTGTCCACCTCGTTCATCCGCTGCAAGACGGTTTCTCGTGCCCTGTAGCTTGCCACTGATAAAACAAGAGGGTGGAGAATATTTCGTTTCACATAGGTTTTGATTAAAGCTTAGTTAAAAAACCCGTCACTAAAGAATTTGCCTTGAGAAAGTTTTTGTGTCTTTTTCAGTGTTAGATCAGTTATTTAATTTATTTATTTATTTATTTTTGGCTTTTTGGGTCACACCTGGTGATGCTCAGGGCTGACTCCTGGCTCTGCACTCAGGAATTACTCCTGCTGGTGCTCAGGGGACCCTCTGGGATGCTGGGAATCGAACCCAGGTCGGCCACACGTAAGGCAAACACCCTCCTTCCCTGCTGTACTATTGCTCCGACCCCAGATTGGTTTTTTTTTTTTTTTTAATTTAAAGGATCCGACTCAAGATTGCTATTTTTGGTATCAGGATGATACTGGGGAATCTCTGAGCTTGTAAATGGACAGTACATTTTTGGAGCGCGCTTGGTGGTCCAGGTGCTGATGTGAGCCTCGTGCCGCTCGCCCACGGCAGCTCTGCCAGAGTGGGGGAGAGCCACTGCCAGTGGCTTGTGGTTTGGCTTGGGGCCACACCTGGCAGTGCTCAGGACTTACTCCTGGCTCTGTGCTCAGGGAGCACTTCCGGTGGGGCCCAGGGGCTCAGATGGGCTGCTGGGGATGAGCCTGGGTCTGGCCTGTGTGCGGCCAGCACCAACCCTTGTGCTCTCGCCGTAGCCTCTAAGTAGCGGCTAACAAAAGGGCCTTTTTGCTTTCTTCCAGCAAGTTCCCTCCGAGCCTGTACGCGCCCAGCATCTCCAGAGCGCAGCAGGACGAAGTGGCGGCTACTTTCCTGGTGACCCTGGACGCGCTCCTCGGCCAGCTACTTCCGTTCCAGCCTTTTGTGCAGACGGTCTTGGACAGTACGTCAGGTGAGCTTCGGACTAAAGGTGAACCCCTTGGGACAGGGAGAAACGGGCCGTGTTCTCTAGTAGTCCTCGATGCCATCTTTACCTTGAATTCCTTCTTTGTCTGGGCACATTTATTATTTTTTTCATGGAGAAGATGGCGCCTCTGATGTCTTTGCCAGGCAGGTTCCTAGTGACGTTTCAGTGGGTGGGGGGTGGCTCTCCCGGTGCCCGGGTTGTAGCTCGCGGTCTCTTCCTGCAGGGCTGCCTGCCGAACTGCAGCTCCCACACTGCCTCCTGCTGGTCGTGCTCATGGACAAGCTGCCCTCCCAGCCCGAGGCCGTGCAGGGCCTGTGGTGTGGCCCCCCGCCGGACTCGGAGACCACAGCCAGGTAGGCGGTGCGTGCCGCCCAGGCCAGTCCTGGGGGGCTCGGTTGACTGTTGTCTGGAATGATCTTGAAGTTAAGCGGGGGAGGTTGGTTGGTTTGGGAAGGGTCCCACCCGGCGATGCTCTGGGCTGACTCCTGGCTCTGCACTCAGGGATCAACTCCTGGCGGGGCTCGGGGGACCCTAAGGGGTGCCGGGGATCGAACCTGCGGCAACCGCGTGCAAGGCTGGCGTCTTCCTGCTGTACTGTTGCTCCAGCCCCGAAGTTCTTGCTTCTGCTTGGTATTAGAGTCACCTCCAAAAATGGTATTTTATAACAATAAAATGCGAATATGCGCATGCAGAGCAAACGGCAGAAGAGTCATTCTGTTGCGGAAGGCGTCTGCTAGTGTACAGTAGAACTCAGCAGACGGCGCGGCATTTGAAGGTGACCTCTGACAAGAGGAGCCCGAGGCCTTGCAGGCTGTCGCTGCGGAAAGGTCCCTTGCAGCTTCCCTCCTGTTCGGTGTGTGGTCGGCCTGTTTTTGAATCAAAGATTCAGTCACCAAAGATTCCTTATTCTGAAAATGACCCCTCCCTGTCTGAACTATAATTCTTATTTTCTACTGCATATAATGGCTAACTTAGGTATTTAAATTTCAAGTTCTTTGTGTGTGTGTGTCAGTGTCACACTTGGTGATGCTCAGGGGTTCCTCCTGGCTCTGCACTCAGGAATCACTCCTGGCGGTGTCGGGGGACCCTATGGGATGCCAGGGATTGAACCCGGGCTGGCCGCGTGCAAGGCAAACGCCCTCCCCGCTGTGCTGTCGCTCCAGCCCCAAGTTTCAAGCTCTTTGGCAAATGTTTTTGGCTTTTGGCCACAGCCGGGAGTGCTCAGGAGTCAGCCCTGACAGGGCTCGGTGGTACCAAGAACTGGACCTGGTCCACCGCGTACAGGGCACGATTGCTTCGTTTTCTGAGATTTTAAAGACAAAGTTCTTGTCCGTTAAGGAATTCCTTTAACGGCAGCTGACTTTAGTTTTCCACACCTACGGGCAACGCTTGCACACTGTCTTGGCGGAAGTAGCCCTGAATGTGTCCGCCGTTAACGCCTTCACTGTCCTTCCTCCCACAGGCCGGCTCTCGTCAGGGCCCTGTTCTGCAGCTTTGAGCGGTGTTCTGGCGAACTCTCCCTCCCCGTTCACATGCAGGGAGCCGAGGGCCAGGGGCAGCCCGAGGCCGCCGTCACCTTGTACCAGCACGTCTGTGTCCACCTGTGTGCCTTTATCGCCTCCTCACACTCCTCGTTCTTCCCCACGCTGGTAAGTTTGCTTCTGGCTGAGCCGAGCTGAGGGCGCACTTGGGCGTGTTTGCCGGAATTGTGACTTGTGTACTGATGAGAACGTGTTTATCCACCTGTAATCCGTCCTCTGCTAGGAAACGATTATCCCACGGCTCTGTAATATTCAGCTGTCGGTTGAGTGGAAATACGTGAGGAGACGTTTTTGGTGGGAAGGTCTGAAAAGAGACGAGGGGAAAGTGGAGGGTTTTCCCTAGGAAAATAGCAATAAAAATGGCCAAAAAATGGGGCTAGAGCAATAGCACAGCGGGGAGGGTGTTTGCCTTGTATGCTGCCGACCCGGGTTCAATTCCCAGAATCCCATGTGTCCCCTGAGCACCACCAGGAGTCATTCCTGAGTGCAGGGCCAGGAGTCAGCCCTGAGCATCACCGGGTGTAACCCAAAAAGCAAAAAAAAAAAAAAAAAAGTTCAAAAAAATTTAAAAAGTCCTGGGGGTGGGGGAAATTTGTAGCCTGTTATCCCTTCACCGCCTGAGATAAAATAATTATGTTCTGGGAGCCTGGCAGGCTACCGAGAGTATCCCACTCATATGGCGGAGCCTGGCAAGCTCCCCGTGGCGTATTCGATATGCCAAACAGCAACAACAAAGTCTCACAATGGAGACGTTACTGGCCCTCTCGAAAAAAATCAATGAACAACGGGAGGACAGTGACAGTGATGTTCTGGGTGTGGCCCTAAAATCCGCCCCCAGAGGAAAAAAAGTTGCGTGAAGTCTCTTCCTGATCTTGGGCATAATTTAGAGGTGGAATTTCCACAGGGACCGCTGTCGCTTTCTAAGGTAGCACGCAGCTGGCGTGCCTGACGTGTTTTTCAGTCGCCAAAGACACGCTCGAGTATTGCAGAAGGAAAGCGCGTGTCTTGTCGCCTGTGTCGTTCTCATGCTTTCAGCCGTGCATGTCACCGGAGAACGCCCTGGTGCTGAGTGCAGTGAACTCTCTCCTAGGACGCCGCGCTGCTGGCCGCTGTCCTCGGAACGCAGATGATCGCCGCCCTGCTGGCCGTGGACGCCTGGTGCTTCCTTGCTCGGTACCAGGGACTGTGGTCTGGGGAGTGACTGGGACTGGCAGGACGAGGGTTCACACTTGCAGCCGGTAGGAAAGTCCTGCGGGGTGGTTCCATGGTGTAGGTTGACCCATGGTGGTAGACTAGTCGTGTGCCTTGGCCCTGGGCGTCTCTGCTGCCATCAGTGACAGGAGCGTCCTTTCTCCGTCGTAGGTTCGGAACTGCTGAGCTCTGCGCGCACCATGTCACGGTCGTGGCCCATCTGGTGAGTGGCGCCCGGCCCCGCCCACTTGCTCCAAAGTCCCAGGTCTGCTGACCTCAGGGAACGGTAGGAAAGGAAGAAGTGTCATGGCTGCTGGCTGCCAGGTCCCCTGCCCCGGGAGCCGGTACTGTTGGAGAAAGTGCCAGCCACGGCATGAAATGGGGGCACAGAGACTAAATTTGCACTTGAGTTCAGAGTGGAGGCGAAGGGAGCTCACGTTGCTGAGACAGACAAGGCCGCTGTTACGTTCATCTTATCAGTGGGCTGGAGCGATAGCACAGCGGTAGGGCGTTTGCCTGGCACGCAGCCAGCCCGGCCAAGCCGGGTTCGAGTCCTCCACCCCTCTCAGAGAACCCGGCAAGCTACCGAGAGTACCTCGCCCGCACGGCAGAGCCTGGCAAGCTCCCCGTGACGTCTTCGATATGCCAAACACAGTAACAACAAGTCTCAAAAATGGAGACGTTACTGGGCCCGCTCGAGCAAGTCGATGAAAAATGGGAGGACAGTGACAGTGAGGATTTGAGAAATGCGTTGGCCTTCCAGCAGACTAAAAGATCAGCCGAACGGTGCTGTGAACGGATGTGACAAGCCCGCTTGACAGACCAGGTGATGTGCTGCTCCCAGTGTGACCTTGTTTTGCTTACGCAATCTGGGATACGTGATGTGTTCCAGAGTCGACGGTCGCTGCCTACTTACTGGGTTGGTTTTTGACCCTGGCCCTTGAAAAATACCTGGTTCACAGTGCGTCCTGCCTTTCTTTGGTGACCTTTGAAGAATTTTGTTAAGCAAAACCAAAGAGGCACCTGATAACCGGATGCGACCATCCATCTGTCTCCAGGCGAAGCCTTCCAGGCACATGGCCCAGAAACGTAAAACTTGCACAGAACTGACTTTTGTGCTGTGTATTTTCTGTTTTTGTTTTCCTCTGAACAAGTACTTTTTTTTTTTTTTCTGTACGTTATGATGGGAATTGATCCCCAGACAAGTGACTTCATAAAACCTTTTGGTTATAGTTTCACCAGGTCAGAGTTAGGTGTTTGCTATGTTTGCATGGCCGTGCTCAAATTATCTCCTGAATTGTTTTTTGAGTAGGAGGATTTAACATTTCCACTTACTGTCAGAATAGTAATTGGAAATAGGAATTTAGTGTATTGCATTTTTTATTTTTATTTATTTATTTATTTTTGGCTTTTTGGGTCCCACCCGGCGATGCTCAGGTCTGACTCCTGGCTCTGCACTCAGATATCACTCCTGGCGGTGCTCGGGGGACCCTGTGGGATGCTGGGAATCGAACCTGGGTTGGCCGTGTGCAAGGCAAACGCTCTCCCCGCTGTGCCATCGCTCCAGCCCCTCCAGTGTACTTCAAAGTGTTACAATTTTTCTTGCTATGAAAATTTGGAAGAAGAGAACTAAAAGGTCTGAGTTAAAAATGTAAATTGCCTGTGATTGGCTCGGGGTGGGGGGGGGGGGTGATTTACAGCCTTGCGCGTGGAGCTGGGTCCAGGCCCCGCCACCACCAGAAACACAAACTCATTTCCCTGAAAAAGTGCAACGGTCCTAGTTTGGCACACTCGAGTTTGTGAAAGCTAGGCTTTAGTTTTGGTTTGGGGGCCATGCCCAGCTGTGGGCTCAGAGCTTACTCCTCTGGGCATCACTCCTGGTGGCGTTACTCTGAGGGATAGAGCCCGGACTGGCCGCATGTGCCGTGCTGTCTCCAGCCCCCAACGCCACGGTTCCCCGTCACCCATCTCTCCTCTTCCCAGGTCAGATCCTGCCCCGGACCGTGTCACCAGCTCGCCAGCCTGTCGCTGCTGTTACAGCGGCTCCTCTTCTTCATGACCCCGGCACAGCAGGCAAGGGTGGCACCTGTCACTGCCTTCCAGCAGCTTCGAGAGGCGGCTCAGGCTCCCGGCCTGCCCTGCCCGCCCGCCTGTTTGATCGTCCACGCGATCTGAGTGTGGCGTTTGAACACGCTGCGCTTTGCTGCGTTGTTTCTCTTGGGGACAGGAACGGCCCTAGTTAGCGCAGTAAGCGGGGCCTTGGTCCTCGGGCAGCGACCTGAGTGTGGGCTTGTCCCAGGTCTGACCGCGGCAGGGATGGGGGTGGGGCAGAGGGCAGAAGACAGACAGTCCAGTCCGCGTCCTTCCCGTCCTTCCACTCCAGCAGCTGTTCCAGAACCTTCTCTGGAAGTTGGCTCTGCCGCCCCATATCAGAATCTGCTTTGTCATCGAGACTTACGAAACTTGCTTGTTATTCGCTGTTCAGAGTAACAGCAACGCTGCACTGCATCACAGATGACCTCGCAGGAGAGAGTCTGCTGGCAGTGAGATTTACGAAAACACTCAGAAGGCGGCTCAGTGTTCCGACCGAGGCACAGACCAGCTTTGCTGAGCAGGGGTGGGGGTGGCAGCTGGGGACCCTCCAGGCACCCACTTCTCTGCCCGTCTGTTCCCCGAAGCCGAAGGTCGCTGCGTTTGTTCGTAACTTTCAACCCTGGCTGTCACTTCCCTCGCGCTTTGATGAAGGGAAGGCAGAATCCTCTTCCGTTACTCCCTCCCACGCCCCCCAGTGTGAAATAACGCCCGCCCGCAAAGCAGGCTGGCCTCCCTGCATCTTTCTTCGAGCAAGGTCTCGAAGCGGAAAGAGTTAATCAGTAGCCGTGGGGCGAGCCCTGGCCCCCGTCCCAGGCCCCGGCGTCCGTTTCCTGGAACCCGTTCTGTCCGTGTGGACTTCGGTATCAGGGAAGGGGAGTTGGCGCCGCTGCTCCATCGTGGGGCGCTTCTGGCGTCCCTGCTGCCGGTCGGTTTCAGGAGCGAAGCTGATTTTTTTTAATGATAAGCACATAACTAATTAAGGAGGTTTTTCTGGCCCTCTCAGCTCACTTAAAAAAAGCCACACAGCTGCTCATTATTCTTTTTTGGGGGGGGGGGGGGCACACCCAGCTGTGCCCAGGGATCACTCACTCCTGGTGGTGCTCCGGGGACAGAACTAGGTTGGCCACGTGCAAGGCCTTGCCCGCTGCTCTGTCATTCCGACCCTGCCACCCCTCCAGCACTGCGCCTCGGGTGGATCAAACCAGTCCTGCCCGGTGTGATGTGCAGATCAGCTGGGGAGGGTTAGCGTTTGTGCCCGTGTTCGTGTCTCACGTTCCGACAATTCCTTCCAGGCGGAGTTCGTCCAGCAGTTTCCCCCCTGGGAGGCCGAGAACTGGCCCCTGTGGCAGCACGTCTCCTTCCGGGCATTCTCAGCCGAGCTGCGGAGAGACGCGGCCGTGGCACTGAGCCAGGCGGGCGTCCTGCAGTGCCGGCAGTGGCTGGGCGGCCGCCGCACGCTGGCCGAGCTCGACACTCTGGTGCGTGGGGCCTCCTGCCTGAGATTCGGGAGGGACACTGCCCGGGTTCGAACTGTGCCCAGTTTCCAGCCTGCCCTACCGGGGCAAGGGGCTGGAATGGTGGGGGTTGTTTGAGGGTGCGGGTAGCCTGTACAGCATGAGACAGTATGAAGCGCTTGGTTTGTGGTGGTCGACGCCTCTCTGACGTCAGTCGGGCAAGATGTGGTTTGTCTCTGAAAAAACACGCGCCTCAGTTTCTGCAAAGCTGAGCCTTCGCCTCACTTGACGTCACACAGCCTCGCCCCATCAGACAGCAAAGGCCAGAAAAATGCCTCACGCTCTAGTTGCTTTGGGTACTCTGTGTGCATTGTCGAAGGATTTTAAAGGCACAGAACAGCAGTGATTAAAAAAAATCGAGTCGCTTTAGAATGACATTTTTAGCTGGTAGTATAAATTTGCTTGACCATAATGTAAACCTCTTTATTGTCAAAGCACATTGTCATTTCAGTCCTTAAAATGTTCAATCTGGAAGGAAAATAGTCTTCTAAAAATAAAGCTGGATTCTTCTGTATATAGGAAAACTGGCTTTAATGGAACGTACTGTTTTATTTATTTTTTGTGCATTTTGGGTCACCCCCGGCAATGCTCAGGAGTTCCTCCTGGCTCTGCACTCAGGAATCACTCCTGTCGGTGCTCAGGGGACCATTGGGGATGCTGGGAATCGAACCCGGGTTGACTGCGTGCAAGGCCAACGCCCTCCCTGCTGTGCTATGGCTCCAGCCCCGAAACATCGTGGTTTTAACTGAACAAGATGGCTCTGGGCCTTACGGATGCAGTTCCGTTGGGTGCTCTGTGCGTTTAGAGAGTGGGAAGTGTCAGGAGCCTGAGGTATCTGGGTTGCTAACTGGCTCTGCCTGCAGGACGCGGCTCTGTCGGCCTTGCTGGCCGTGTGTTCGTCAGCCGGGGACGCTCTGGATGCCGGGCAACAAGCCGCAGTCGTGGAAGTCGGGAGCCAGCTCTGGACCTGCTTGAGCAGCCAGCAGGTAAGGAAAGAACCCAAAGACAAAGCCGAGACTAGAGAACAGACATTTCCTGGGGGAGGTGCCCACACGGGACGGTAGGACTTGAGGCAGCTTGAATACCCAGGTGACCGCCTGCCTGCAGGTTTTTCTGAGCGTGCAGCGGGAGGGCTGGAGTCCAGGCTGTGCCCAGCTCAAGATCCCCTGAGCTCCCGGCGGGCACAGCCCCCAAACCAGAAAAGCAGAAGAGAAAAGTAAAAGTAAAATGAAAGAGAAAAGTGAAACAGAAGAGGAGAAAAAAAAGTAAAACGGAGGGGCATCTGAGCATCGCCGGGTGTGACCCAAAAACCAAATTAAATAAATATATATATATATATATATATATATATACACTTTTTTTTTTTTTTGCTTTTTGGGTCACACCCAGCAATGCACAGGTTCCTCCTGGCAGGGCTCGGGGGACCCTATGGGATGCTGAGGATCGAACCCGGGTCGGCCGCGTGCAAGGCAAATGCCCTACCCGCTGTGCTATTGCTCCAGCCTCAGTAAACATAAAATTTTTTAAAAGGTAAAATAAAAAGTAAAAATTAAAAATGAGGGGCTGGAGCGATAGCGCAGCCGGTAGGGCGTTTGCCTTGCATGTGGCCGACCCGGGTTCGATCCCCAGCATCCCATAGGGTCCCCCGAGCACCGCCAGGAGAGATCCCTGAGTGCTGAGCCAGGAGTCAGCCCTGAGCATCGCCGGGTGGGACCCAAAAACAAAATTAAAAATGAAAAGTAAATTAAAAAAAAATTAAAAGGTAAAACAAAAAGTGGCAAGAGTAAAATAAAAGTAAAACAAAAATGAAAATAGAATCCAGAACTACGTGTCAGCCAGTGTCCTGGGATGCGGGGCGCCTTCTCCCCCAGCCTGTGGGCCGTGGCCAGGGAGCCCGTGGGAGGGCACTTCCCGGCAAGGCCAGAACCACGGAGGTGCCCGCGGGCCGTGTGCGCACCCGACCGTGGCGCCGTTTCCTCTGCCGTGCCCCAGTGCCTTGGCACTGGGTGCCGGAAGGCGCTTCGGGGCTAGACGGGGCGCGCTTCCTGTCCTGCACCCGATGCCCGGGGACGGCCTGGCTCAGGCGGGAGGTGACTGCCAGCGGGTAGCTGAGATTCTCGTCTTCTGTTGAAGGTCATGGGGCACCCTCGTGGCCAGCACACGCTCGGTCTTCTGCTTCCGCTGCTGGGCCTCTTCATCCCCAAGCTGGACCTGCAGCTGATCAGCCGGGTGAGGGCAGGTGCCTGTAGTGCGCTCTAAGCCTGTTTGCGTATGTTGTATAGGGGGCAGGTCTGGGGGTCCGCCTGTGTGTGTGTGTAGGGGGTGGGCTTGGGGGAAGGGTTGTGGGCAGCCGAAGGCACTCCCTCCAGCTCCCTGTGACCGTCCCTGCCCTGCCCCCAGGTGCTGACCGCACAGGCCGTGCTGCTGAGGCTGGCCCCGCCTGACCATGTGCGTCTGGCCGTGCCCGACTTCGTGTCTTCCCTGGGAAGGCTGGTCATCCCTGAAGATGCCCAGGTACCGCTCTGAGCCCAAGCGACCAGCAGACTCCTCGCTCGGGCGGTGGGGGGGGGGGGGTTGGGAGAGAGGAGAGAGGGAGGGTGTGTGTGTGTGTGCGTGTGTGTGTGTGTGTGTGTGTGTGTGTTGATTCCCAGGGGTCCCTGGGAGAAAGACACAGAGAGACAGAGAGAGAGAGTGTGGGTGTGTGTGTGTGAGTGTGTATTCCCCAGGGGTCCCAGGATGAAGCCCCGCCCGAGCTGGGACCGGGAGTTGGCGTCTGGATCAGCACTTCTCGATCGGCCTTGGCTTCTCCGTAGGATCTCATTCTGCCCGGCCTCGCCGCGGTGCTGGCGCTGCTCCTGGCGGACGGGCCGTGGCTGCTGGAGCAACAGGCCCTCGAGGCCTTCACCCGCTTCGCCGAGGTGCGTCGCCCACGGGCCGGGCGCGGTCCCGCCGGTGGCCGCCCTGAGCTCCACTCACGTGGTTTCTCTCCCGGGCGCAGGGCACCAGTCACGAGGAGGTGGTCCCGCAGTGCCTCCGCGCGGAGGGGATGAAGGCCCGAGTCGTGGCCTTTCTCGAGAAGGTATTCGCGAGTGTGTCCCGGGCGCGGGCTGGGGCGGGCGGCTTTTCCCACACCACACCGTTTCCTGGCTGACGGAAACGGTGGCCGGTCGCAGCGGTGTTAGACCCGCGTGCGACTGCGTCCCCTGAGTGACCCGGGCCCCTGGAGTCCAGTGAGCCACTCGCCGGGGTCTTTCTCCGCAGAGTGGGCTCCGGGAGGAGACGGCCGCCGCCAGACTGGAGCGTGTCAAAAGGGAAAAGTGCGTCTACGCGGCGCCCTTGGCAGCAGGAGCCGCCGCCGAGTCCCCGTTAGAGGTACGAGGGGGGCGCTGGGCCTCAGACTGACGCCTCCGTGAGACTGACAGGTGAATCGGAGTTTGTGACTCATCGACCAGAGAGACAGAACTTATGTGACTCCCTGTTCCGCGAGCCTGGGAAGGGACCCTTCGCGCCCCAGTGCCCCGGTTAACGGGCACGTGTGTCCCTCGCCTCACTTAGCTATGATCACTTAGCTCGAGAACTGCATCGGGGGGTAATCTGGCACCAGGGACCCCCAAAACGCGCGTGCCAGGAAACAGTCACACACCACTCGGGTAACGAGCCCTCGAGGGCCTGTTTATTAGGCAGCTGTGGTGGGAAGCCCGACGCTCTGTTGCCCTGGCTGGCAGAAACGGTGGCTGGCGGCGAGTCCCGGGTACTCACAGAGGCGGCTCGGGGACCCCACGTCCTCTTGCACTTCTCGGGGGGCCGGGGGGCCCGCAGGAGCCCGACTAGAAGGAAAGTCACACACAGCGTTTGCAGGCAGAGCCCGAGGTTCCTGGGCTGGGACTGGCGGGCGGCGCGCTACTCACCCGTCTCTCCTTCCCCGCAGCCTCCAGCCAAGAGAGCCTGTCCGGGGCTCCCGGAGGCCACGCTCCGGGCCGCGCTGCAGGCCGCCAGCCAGGCCCTGGACACCCTCGAGTCGCTGCTGTGTGTCGGGCCCGCTCCGGGCTGGGTGGCGGCCCAGCTGACACCGCTGCTCCGCAGGGCAGAGGCGCTGGGCCGCCTGCTCTAGCCCTTCCCGGCACAGGGGACGGCCCTGCCGAGCGGACTCTGGGGGGCACGAGGAGGGGCCGCCGGCTCGGCCCCTGGCAGCAAGTTCTGGCTTGTCAGCCTCCCTCGCTCTTCCGTGAAAGAAATGGCACAAAGTGAAGCCCCTCGGCTGGAATCTGCGTTTATTCCCTTCCGGGGCCCCCGGGAGGGGCCGCCGCTCGCTCCGGGCCGGGCGTGGGCTCTGAGGTATCGGGTGGGCGCGTGGCGAGGAGGCCCCTCCGGTCACCAGCTCGTCTCCTCCCAGCCGAGCTCCCCCTCCTCGCCCCAGCCTTCGGCCTCTCCCTGCGGCGACAGAGAACACGGGTGACGGCCGGCCGGTCCCACCCAGGCACAGCGGGACTCCCTGGCCCCGGGCGCGCCCCTGACTGACCTCGGGCATCTCGGCGGCGGCGAACTTGGCGGAGAACGGGGGTCGCGGCGGGGGCGGCTCGGCGAGCAGCAGCCCCACGGCCGAGGGCGTGATCTCGGGGACCATGTCTGCGAACCAGTCCTGCTCGGCCGGGGGCGGCGGCCTCACCTGGATGGTGAACTCCTCCCCCAGCCCCAGCCGGGGCGGCCGCGGGCGCCCCTCGTGCGCTGGCCTCTGGCCCGTCTCGGGGGGCCTGGGTGGCCGCGGCTCCGGCTCTGCGGCGGGTGGGGGGCTGGGGCCCGCGCTCTGCTCCCCTGAGTCTCGGCCAGCGGCCGCATGATCCCGGGGCTCCTTGGCGTCCGGGCTGGGCACCGCCGGGGGCAGCGGCGACACCGGGTCACTCTTGTCCGGCTCCTCGGGCTCACCCCAGTCCGGCCAGTCCTCGGGCGTCCGAGCAGTGCTGGCGGGGACACCGTCTTCGTCTCCGGAGTCGTTTCTCACGCCTGCGACTCCATTCATGGGGAACGGCGGTGGCTCAGAGAACGGGTCACCTGCAGGAGGGGCAAGAGTCAGCCTCGGAAATAGCCACGGCCCCCAAGTGGCCAGTGGACACCGGGAACTTGGACGCACACACCAAGCGCCTGGCACAGAGCAACACACGGGGCTGGCCTGGGACACGCACCGTGTCCCCAAACCACAGCCCCGTCTGCACTCGAGGGGTGATCCTGGGAGGTCTGGGGGGCACCGGAAGCCCCCCAGGGTCTTCGGGATGGAGCTTCGGGAAGGGGGTTGGGGGGACGGGCATGCAGGTGCCAGGGGCTGCCGAGAAGCAGGAAGAGCCTTAAGAGCATTTGAGGCTCCGGCGGGGCGGGGAGGGCGTTGGCCTTGAGTGGCCGACCCAGGTTCGATCCCCGGCATCCCACAGGGTCCCCCGAGCACCGCCAGGAGTCAGCCCTGAGCATCACCGGGTGTGACCCAAAAAGCACACACACAAAAAGAGCATTTGGGGCTCAGAGGCCTGAAGCAGACGTGCACACGGTTCCGTGGTGTTTCCAGTGGGCCCGGAGCCACTTCAGGAAACGTCCCTGGCGGCCGGACTCTGTCGTGGGCACTGGCCAAAGTCCAGCGTCGGCCTAGCCCGTGGCACCCCAGGGCCACTCCCTGCCCCCACCACCCCGGGGACCGGGCCTGGGGCGTCGCCTGCCTACCTCGCGGGGACGGGTCGCGGGCTCTGCTGAAACTGGGCGCGCTGCGCTTGAAGATCTTCCTCCGCTGCCCGCCCACCACCACCTCGGGCCCCAGCAGGGACACCAGCACGGCCAGGCTGTGCAGTGTCGCCGTCACGATGGCCGCGCTGCTGTCACGCAGCCCCAGCAGCACCTGCGGGGAGCGGCCGTCGTGAGGGGCTTCGGGGCACGCGCCCGCCCGGCGTCCAGTGCTGGCCTCTGGGCGCCCCGACACGCCCGCCCCGCCCCGCCGGGAGCACTCGCCTGCGGCAGGATGACGCCGCGCAGCTGCTCGGGGGAGAAGTGGCCCACGTAGGCGTCCAGGTGGCCGAGCAGCACCAGGCGCACGTGCTCCTCGTGGACCTGGAAGAGCTGCAGCAGCACCGGGATGACCCGCGCCCGGAACAGCGGCGGCGACAGCAGGCAGGGCACCTCCCCGGGGCCGCCGGCTGCAGGGAGGGCCGGAGTCACCAGGGAACTGCACCCGGGCCGGAAGTGGCCGCGACGCAGCCCCAAGATGCAGTGCCCGACACCCCGGGAAGATGCTCGCAAGGGCTTGGCAGGCTGGAGCCAGTGACGTGGGGTGAGAGTCACAGGGTGGGCCCCGACGCATGTACCCACCACGGGGCCGGGCCTCACCTTTCTTGGGGCCCAGCAGGTGCGGGAGGAAGCTCTTCACGGCCACGGGCTCCGCAAACACCAGCGGGTTGAGCAGCAGCGGCACCAGGCGGGCGGCGATGAGCTCCTCCGACAGGCAGCTGACCCTGTCCAGCAGGAACCTGCGGGGCGCCCGGGTCAGGGGAACCTGCCTGCCCGCCCCTCCCCGAGTCTGACCAGATGCCCTGTGACCCCCCTGGTGTTCCCACCTCCCATCCCTGACCCCGTCCCCAGGGACCTGCTGCGCCGCCGGGTGGCGCATCGGGGCCCCCACGCAGACGCCGCCTCCGCCCAGGCCCCGTCCCGGGGTGACCCACCCCCAGGCGTGAGGCCGCGCGTCTGGCGCCGACTTACTTGAAGAACTCGGTTTTCTCCTCTTCGCTTTTCAACGTCAGGCTCTTCAAGAAGTTCACGACTTCCAGGAAGTCGTTCCTGAGGGCGGCAGGACAGACGGACGCGGGAGCGAGATGAGAGGCCGGGAGGACGCAGACCCGCCCGGTGGCTTCCACCACCTCTCCCGAACCCGGGGCTGCCGGGCAGAGGGTGGCGGGGCCGCTCCCGGGCTGGGCCGCGCCAGGAGACGGCAGGGCCACTGCGCGGGCCTGAGCCAGGACCCCCGGGGCCCTCTCAGCCCGCATGGCCCCAACAAGAAAGCCACAAGGGCTACTCCTCGCCCAGTGCTCTCTCTCCCTGCATGGACCCCAACAATAAAACCATGAGGGCTACTCCTCACCCAGTGCTCCTTCAGGCTGCACGGCCTCCAACAATGAAAGCATAAAGGCTACTCCTCACCCAGTGCTCCATCCCACACGGACCCCAACAATAAAGCCACGAGGGCTACTCCTCACCCAGTGCTCCCTCACCCTGTACGGCCCTAACAATAAAACCACGAGGGCTACTCCTCGCCCAGTGCTCCCTTCACCCCGCATGGTTGTCAACGATACGGCCGTGGGGACTATTCCTCCCAGGTGCCCTCCGGGGTGGCCACCCCGTGTCCTGCTGAAGGACGGAGCTCCCCGTGGCCCACCGCTGCGGCCCTCCGCGGGGTCCCCGCCTCACCTGAAGAAGTCGTGGGCCAGCAGCGTGCGGAGTGGCGGGCGGGCGTGCGGGAGCGGGTGCAGGAGGGCGGCGTGCAGGGGGGGCTGCAGGCTGCCCAGCGCCTCGGCTGCAACCGAGAGCCACCCGTGAGGCCCGGGGGCGCGGGCCGCGACCCCCACCCCGAGTCCCTGTGGCCCCGCGGGGCGCCCCGCTCACCCTGCTCACGCAGCAAACTGGCCACCAACACCCCGAACGAGTAGGCGTCGCGGGCGTGGCCGTGCGCCTCGGGCAGCGTGCTGAAGTCGGGCGCCTGCGAGCACGGGGGCGAGGGGGGGTGAGCCACGGGCGCCCCCCGACCGACTCCCTCTGCTCCGGATGAGGGGACCCCCCGAGAGGCGGGCGCGGTCTCAGAGCAGCGGCAGCGTGCCTCACTTTCCCCCCGATGGCATCGCGGCACGTGGACACACCGATTCACTCAGCGTCGGGTCTACAGCGGCCGCTCCCTCGGGAGAGCCGGCCCCCGGCCCTTTGTTCCTCCCTGTTCTGGGGACGAGGGGTGAGGGGCGCCTGCTTCCCTGCAGTCCACCCCTCCCCGCCCCGCCGTCCCTAGACACCGGGCAGTCCCGGGCAGCGGCCAGCTCACCGTCTCCTCAGGAGGGATGGACGCCGGGTCCCGCAGCGGCTGGATGCTCTTGAGAAACTGGGGGTCACAGTGGGCGCGGTCACAGGGCAACGCCCCCCCCGCCTGGAACGGCACCCCAGGGCCCACCTGTGCCCACCCCAGCCGGGGACGGTGTGGGGACCCGGGACCTGGCGTTTCCGGGTTAGCCAAGGGGGGCGGGGGACGGGTCCCCGATCCCCGAGGGGCAGAGGGGCAGGGGCCCGGGCAGGGTGGGGCGGGCTCACCTCCGGGGTGGCCTGCGGGATGCCGCAGACGGTGTCCATGCCCCCCAGTTTCCAGTGACCCTCCTCGCTCACGAACACCGAGGCCAGGCAGACGTTGTTGTGCGTCAGCCGCCCCTGGGGGGACACGGGCCGGGGGGGGGGGGGAGAGGGTGAGCCGCGGGGCTTGGGGGCACCCCACCTGGGCCACAAAGACCAGGATCACCAATGGGTCCCCCCAAACTCCCGGGGTCCCCACTACCCAGGGTCCCACCATATGGGAGACCCTGGCTGGGGTCCAACGACTCAGGCCCTCCACAAGCCCTCAACCAACCGGGGTCCCCCCCGACACCAGCCGGGGACCCTCCCTACCCCGGCTGGGTCACCCCCACACCGGCGGAACCCCTACACCCCTACTAGACCCTAGACCAGCCGGGGACCCCCCTCTACACCAGCCGGGTCCCCTCCAAACCCCGGGCCCCCCCAGCCCGGCGCCCCCCGCGGCCGCTCGCTCACCCGGTCGTGCAGGAAGATGAGCGCCTGCAGGACGTCGTAGATGCCGGCGCAGACCTCGGCGGGGGCCAGCGAGTCCAGCGCGCTCTGCAGGGGCCGCACGCGCTCGGTGAGCAGCCGGACCCCGTCAGCCTCCACCGTGCAGGACAGGAAGCGCAGCAGGTTGGGGTGCCGCAGCGTCTTCAGCTGCTGCAGACACGGGGGGCGGGGGGTGAGCGGATCCCCTCCCCCCACGGACGGACGGACGGACGGATGAATGGATGGACACACACACACACACACACTCTTAGCTGCTGCAGACACGGGGGGCGGGGGGTGAGCGGATCCCCTCCCCCCATGGATGGACGGACGGACACACACACACACACACACACACACACACACACACTCTTAGCTGCTGCAGACACGGGGGGGGCGGGGGGTGAGCGGATCCCCTCCCCCCACGGACGGACGGACGGACACACACACACACACACACACACAGCTGTTGCAGACAGACAGACAGACGGATGGATGGACGGATGGATGGACAGACAGACAGACAGACACACACACACATGTAGCTGTTGCAGACAAGGTGGAGGGCGGTGGGTGAGCGGGACCTCCTCTCCCCATGGGCAGACAGACGGACGGACGGACGGACGGACAGACAGACACACACGCAGCTGTTGCAGACAAGGTGGAGGGTGGTGGGTGAGCGGGACCTCCTCCCCCCATGGGCAGGCAGGCAGACGGATAGACGATAGACGGAAGGGGACACACACACACACACACACACACACACACACACACACACACACACACTGCAGCTACAGACACGAGGGCAGGGGTAGGCCAGGGGAGTTGGACCCCCAACACGGGCACACCCCTGCTCCCACGGGGACAGGTGCCCCGAGAGCCTGGGGGCGACGGAGTCGCGGTCTCACCCCGAACCCCAGCCCCTGGACCCCGGGACTGCCGCGCCTCCGGGAGGGCCCTTCAGTGGCCACCTGTGGCCGGCCTGGACTCCTCCCAGGGTCCTGGGGGGCTCGGCCACCGCCAGGACAGTCCCACGGGCGCCAGGCGCCCCGGGAAGCGGCCAGGCCTGGGGGCAGTCGGCACCAGGACCCCGGACACGGTGACCCCGCGGCCAGGGCAGGCTCGGCCCCCCCACCCGGGCCCTCCGCCAGGCCCTGCAGGGGTACCTGGGCCGCCTGGTGCACGCGCTCCTCCTTGCCGCGGCGGGTACCGGAACACGGAGGCGGCGCGTCCATCCTGCAGCCGCGCGGGGGACACGGCCAGGCCGCCGGGCAGCGTCTCGGGGGGTCCCGCCAGCGCGTGGCTCCGGAGCGCGCTGCTCTCCGCGCCCATCCCGGGACCGGCGCGGGCTCAGGGGGACCCCGGACCTGGGGGGGACGAGGGTTCAGGGGGACCCCGGGACCTGGGGAGGGGCGAGGGCTCAGGGGGACCCCGGGACCTGGGGGGGACGAGGGTTCAGGGGGGACCCCGGGACCTGGGGGGGACGAGGGCTCAGGGGGACCCCGGGACCTGGGGGGGACGAGGGTTCAGGGGGACCCCGGGATCTGGGGGGGGACGAGGGTTCAGGGGGGACCCCGGGACCTGGGGAGGGGCGAGAGCTCAGGGGGACCCCGGGACCTGGGGGGGGACGAGGGCTCAGGGGGACCCCGGGACCTGGGGGGGACGAGGGTTCAGGGGGGATCCCGGGACCTGGGGGGGACGAGGGTTCGGGGGGATCCCGGGACCTGGGGTGGACGAGGGCTCAGGGGGGACCCCGGGACCTGGGGGGGACGAGGGCTCAGGGGGGACCCCGGGACCTGGGGTGGACGAGGGCTCAGGGGGGACCCCGGGACCTGGGGTGGACGAGGGCTCTGGGGGGACCCCGGGACCTGGGGGGGGACGAGGGCTCAGGGGGACCCCAGGACCTGGGGGGGACGAGGGCTCAGGGGGACCCCTGGACCTGGGGAGAGGCGAGGGCTCAGGGGGACCCCAGGACCTGTGGGGGACGAGGGCTCAGGGGGACCCCTGGACCTGGGGAGGGGCGAGGGCTCAGGGGGACCCTGGGACCTGGGGGGGATGAGGGCTCAGGGGGGACCCAGGGACCTGGGGAGGGGTGCGGGCTCAGGGGGACCCCGGGACCTGGGGGGGGGGGAACGAGGGCTCAGGGGGACCCCGGGACCTGGGGGGGGTCGAGGGTTCTGGGGGGACCCCGGGACCTAGGGGGGCACAGGCTCAGGGGGGACCCTGGGACCTGGTGAGGGGCGAGGGCTCAGGGGGGACCCCGGAACCTGGGGAGGGGCGAGGGCTCAGGGGGACCCCACGACCTGGGGGGGACGAGGGCTCAGGGGGACCCCGGGACCTGGGGGGGACGAGGGTTCTGGGGGGACCCCGGGACCTTGGGAGGGGCGAGGGCTCAGGGGGGACCCTGGGACCTGGGGGGGACGAGGGTTCAGGGGGACCCCGGGACCTGGGGGAGGACGAGGGCTCAGGGGGGACCCCGGGACCAGCGGGAGAGAGGGTTAAGGGGGGAACCCGGGGACCTGGGGGGTCGCAGGCTCAGGGGCGACCCTGGGATCTGGTGAGGGGCGCGGGCTCAGGAAGGGACCCCGGGACTTGGGTGGGGCGTGGGTTCAGGGGGGACCACGGGACTTGGGGGCGCGGGTTCGAGGGGGGACCATCCCGGGACCCGGGGGGCGCGGACTCGGGGGAGCGCGGCCTCGGGGGCGCGGGCGCAGGGCGGGGCAGCCCCGGGCGTGCCGGGGGTCCCGGGGAGGCGGCGCCCCCCGACCGTTTCTCCGGGCGGGGGGCCAACCGACGGGCTCGGACCCCGGAGGGCGGCGAGCGGCCGGACCGTCCAGTGCCCGCCCGGCCGCAGCTCCGTCCCGGGGCGCCCCGCCCCGCGCCCACCTGTGGCTCCGGCCCGGGGGTCCCGGGGTCCCGGGGGTCCGGGAACACGCGCGGGGCCCCCGCCCGGGGTCCCGGACCAGCCTCGGCCCGACTCCCCGCCCGGCCCCGCCCGGCCCCGCTGACCTGCGGGGCTCGGCCCGGCTGCGGCCCCGGCCGGCGCCGCCCCCCGCGGCCGCTACAGCCGCGCGCTCCGGGGGTCGCGGGTCCCCGACACCATCGAGACGCGCCCGGAACCGGCGCGAACGTCCGCCTGCACCGCCGTCGGCGCCACCACCGAGACGGGCGCGCCGGAACCGCGCTAGAGCGGCCGCCCGGGGCGTCGCGGGCGCGGCCATCTTGGGTGTGGGCAGCGCGGCCGGCCCGTGGCCCCCTCGGCCGGCCCCTGGACCCCGGCACGGCGGCAGAGACCCCCCTCTCTCTCCTGCCCGAGGCCAACGCGCGGGCCGCCCGGTGGAAAGTCGTTCTGACCCGTTCGGGCTTTCCAGCAGGCGGCGGCAACGGGACTTCCGCCCGAGTCCAAGATGGCCGCAGGACACGTCGGATAACTGCGAGAGGGGCGGGGCGGAGGGGAGACGCACCGCGATTCGATTGGGCTCTCCGGAGGGTGCCGGCCTGGTCCGCGCCTCTGATTGGCCGCGCGCTGAGGGCGGAAGTGGCCGCTGCGGCGGCGGCGGGCGAAGGTCGTGGAGTTGTGCCCGCGGCGCTGGACGCAGTTTGGGGTCGAGCTCGTGGTGCTGATGCTGGGGGTGATGGAGGGAACCTGGGCTGGGGCGCCGGGGCTGGGAAATGTGCCCCGATGGAGGGACGGGTGTTGGAACACTGTAGGACTGAAACCCAACCAGGAACAGCGCTGTCAGGGTCTATCACAGTGATTCAATTAAAAAAAAAAAAAAAAGACGGGGGCTGGAGCGATAGCCCAGCGGGTAGGGGGGCTCCCTTGCACGCGGCTGCCCCGGGTTCGATCCCCAGCATCCCATAGGGTCCCCCGAGCACCGCCAGGAGTGATTCCTGAGAGCAGAGCCAGGAGGAAACCCTGAGCATCGCCGGGTGTGACCCAAAAAGCAAAAAAATAAAATAAAAAGACAGACAAGGACCCCAGGATTGCTCCTCACGCTTAACGGGAAGGGGACAAGGCCACCTGGTGCGTGCTGCTCCCGCAGAAGTGTCCCCCGCGTGTCCTAAGAAACAGACATGGGCAGTATTTTCTCGGGAATCAGAGTGCCAGCCGCTTCCCTAATTCTGAATTTACTGGTGGTCACGTGAAAAACAGTAGGGCGGGGGGACACCCAAAATCAAAAATCCCCCCCCAAAACAAACAAACAAACAAAAAAACCCAAACCAAAAGCAGTTGAAAAGAAAAATACAGGGGTTGCAGCGGTAGTACAGTGGGAAGGGCGTTTGCTTTGCACGCAGCCGAACCGGGTTCGATTCCCAGCATCCCATAGGGTCCCCCGAGCACTGGCAGAGTAATTCCTGAGTGCAGAGCCAGGAGGGACCCCTGAGCATCGCCCGTTGTGAACCCTACCCCCCCCCCCCCCAAAGAAAAAGAAAAAAACATCCAGATTCGATGACGCTCGCTTTATCATTCCTACTAAACTACTAAAATTGGGGCCAGGGGAGGGTGTTTGCTTTGCATGCTGCTGACCTGGGTTCGATCCCCGGCATCCCATATGGGCCCAGAAGCCCTGCCAAGGGCGATTTCTGAGTGCAGAGCCTGAAGTCAGCCCTGAGCATCACCAGATGTGACCCAAAACAAAACTACTAAGACCACAGTTTTTTTTTTTTTTTTAAGTTTGTAGCACTGTAGCACTGTCCTCCCGTTGTTCATCTATTTGCTCGAGTGGGCACCAGTAACGTCCCCCTTGTGAGACTTGTTGTTACTGTTTTTGGCATATCGAGCTTGCCAGGCTCTCCCTGCGGGCGGGATACTCTCAGTAGCTTGCTGGGCTCTCCGAGAGGGACGGGGGAATCAAACCTGGGTTAGCTGTGTGCAAGGCTACAGATCACCCCTACCCGCTGAGCTATTGCTCCAGCCCAATATTTGGAGTAAGAAAATTATGCCTCAAAATCCACAAAGTCCCTAATTTTTAAGTCTACAAAATTTTGCTTTGAACCGGCTGTTTCACTGCCTGGTGATTCTTCTTGAGCTCAGTTCCCCTCCAAACATGCAGGCCACCTACCTCAGCCTTAGCCTCAGGGATCCAGAATCTTCACGGCAGGCTGCGACAGGACTGCAGCCTTGGGGGCCGGGACACACCTGTATTCCAGCCATCCCCTCACCTGGCTGATTTGAGCTGATGCCTCTCGCAGGCTCTCTGGGCCTATAAAAGCCCCTTCTTTACCTCCCTCCCTCCCTCCATCACACCTGGCGATGCTCAGGGGTTCCTCCTGGCTCTGCACTCAGGAATTAGTCCTGGCGGTGCTCGGGGGACCATATGGGATTCTGGGAATCAAACCCCGATCGGCTGCGTGCAAGGCAAATGCCCTCCCCGCTGTGCTATCACTCCAGCCCAACTCCTGGTTTGAGGCCAGTTGAGCACTCAGGGGGGGCGATTCTGGGTTTCCTCCGTGAGGGGAGTGGGGAGACTCACCCCTGGACCAAAGTCCTGGACCCACAAAAACCAGGCCCCCATCCCGACACCGTCTCCCTGCTCTGCCCCGGCCGCCCGTCTGTGCTAAGCAGTAGCAGCCCTGCTGGCCAGCTGAAACACCCCCACCCCCACCCCAGGTGCTTGGGGGGTTGCTGCCAGCGGTGATTCGAGGATGGAAGCAGGGTGGGCTGCGTGGAGGCGCCGTCTCTCGGTTTGGAAGCCGCGTGTGGGCTTGGTCTCTGGTTGTGCAGAGCAGAGCCCTCCCTCGTTGTCTGAAGTTGGCGGCTTCGGTCTCGGCTTTTCTCCACACAGCTAAGGGAGCCCCAGCCTGGCGCCTGGACCCCATGGGGTTGGTTAGGCCCCTGCGAGCACCCCGCCCTGGAGTGTGTGAGATTCCTGGGTTGCTGCAAGGATCACGGCGGGAAGGGCGAGGGAATGGGGACAGATCACGCAGCGAGATTGTTCTACTGTGAGTTCCGAGGCACGAGCTAGCGGGGGGCAGGCCACTCTGGGTGGATTTTTATGCATGTGGCTTCTCAGATCCGTTACAGGCTTTCCTTGGCCTTCCTGGGTTCCTGACTCTTTTTTTTTCCCTCTCTTTGGGTCACACTGGCGATGCACAGGGCCAACTCCTGGTTCTGCACTCAGGAATTACTCCTGGCCGTGCTCGGGGGACCATATGGGATGCTGGGAATTGAACCCGGGTCGGCCACGTGCAAGGCAAACGCCCTACCCGCTGTGCTATCACTCCAGCCCCTCTTCCTTCCTTCCTTCCTTCCTTCCTTCCTTCCTTCCTTCCTTCCTTCCTTCCTTCCTCTCTCTTTTTCTCTTTCTTTCCTTTCTTTCTTTCTTTCTTTCTTTCTTTCTTTCTTTCTTTCTCTCTGTCTCTTTCTTTTCTTTCTTTTGGGTCCCACCCAGTGACGCTCAGGGGTTACTCCTGGCTCTGCACTCAGGAATCACTCCTGGCGGTGCTTGGGGGACCCTGTGGGATGCTGGGGATCGAACCCGGGTCGGCCGCGTGCAAGGCAAACGCCCTCCCCGCTGTGCTATCGCTCCGGGCCCTCAAAGGAGCATTTTCATCGTCCTCAACTCAATTCCGAGGAGTGATACTGCTGGAGCGCGTGGTATTTCTATTTTTAGCTACAAAATAAAGTATCTCCAGGCACAAGCAATTGTATAGCAGGTAGGTGCTTGCATGCTGTTGACCTGGGCTTGATGCCCAGAGTCCATATGGTACCCAACATTAAAAACAAAATCTCCGAGGCCAGAGAGATAGTATAGTGGGTTCGGAGCTTGTTTTGCACTCAGCTGGATTTAATCTCTGGCACTTCATAAGTTCCTCTCAAGCACCGCCTGGATTTTTTGTTTTGTTTTGTTTCGTTTTTTGGGTCACACCCGGCGATGCACAGGGGTTCCTTCCTGGCTCTGCACTCAGGACGCACTCCTGGCGGTGCTTGGGGGACCCTATGGGATGTTGGGAATCGAACCCGGGTTGGCCGCGTGCCAGGCCAGCGCCCTCCCTGCTGTGCTATTGCTCCAGCCCGTTTTAGGTTTTGAGTCATACCTGGTGGTGCTCAGGGCTGACTCCTGGCTCTGCACTCAGGAATCCCTCCTGGCGGTGCTCAGGGGACCCTTATGGGATGCTGGGAATCGAACCTGGGTCGGCCGCATGCAAGGCAAACGCCCTCCCCGCTGTGCTGTCGCTCCGGCCCCCTGACTCTTGGCTTAAGGATACATGAAGCCAGATCAGTAATGGAGCAAGGTCTGAAGTCCAAAGACTGAAGTTGGGACGAATCTCTGCAGTCCTTTATCAGGCGCTCAAGGAAATGCATCTGGTCCGAGCGTTTACCTCAGTTGCCTCGTTCACCCCCACCAAGGAAAAGTGTCTGGTCCCCGCCCCTCATAAATATTCAACTATGTACCACCAATGGGTGTTCCCTAAACATGGGGACTAACAAGGGTTTTTGATCACTTCCTGCCTCCCTGTTCCCACCGAATAACGGGGAAATGAGTCTCTCAGTGGAGAAAAGATGCTGGTACTTAGTTAGAAAGGGACTTTCTGGGGGCCGGAGCGATAGCACAGCGGGAAGGGCGTTTGCCTAGCATGCGGCCGACAAGGGTTCGATTCCCAGCATCCCATAGGGTCCCTCGAGCACTGCCGGGAGTGATTTCTGAGTGCAGAGCCAGGAGGAACCACTGTGCATTGCTGGGTGGGACTTAAAAAGCAAAAAAGCAAAAAAAAAAACCGCGTGGCCGCCCACCTTCCAGATGGTCAGACTTCTTCGTCAAGATCATGAACGATCGGTTTGAGGCCCTTCATGTTCCCGGAGCGAACAGATGCCATTGGGCTACACTAGCACGCGACAGGGACAAATGGAGACGTTACTGGCGCCCGCTTGAGCAAATCGATGACTAACGGGAAGTTAAGTGATTAAGTGATTAGCTTCCAGGAATCATACAACCGTTTGGACCCTGGGAGATACGTTGAAACTTTAGGTTTTCCATATGAAGCAGCTGAAGGACACGAATTCGACTTGTTGAAATGATTCCACTCGACCATTATTTAGGGCACGTGTGTCACTGCTAACGGGCCCGGCTGGGGAACGGTACCAGAGGGGTCCAGCCCCGAGAGATGGCACGGTGGGGAGGGCGCTTGCCTGGCGCCCTGGGCCAGGGTTGATCCTGGGCACCTCATATGGTCCCACTAGGAGTGAGCCCTGAGCACCCCTGGGGGGCGGGGGGAGCGACCCCCAGGGCGTGCAGAGGGGCAATAGAGGCAGGGACCTGTGACATTCGGGGACGCAGGAAGGATGCTCGCGGCTGGCTCGTGTTTTCTGCTTTTTAATTGGAATGGACTGAATCACATGGACATCCTGGAGAAATTTGTTTCCCGGCGGACGGACGGACGCGGGGTACCTCGGGGGAGACGGAACTGTGTGTGGGGGGACGGCTTGGGGGTGGGTGGGATGTGGGGGATGACTCCAGCAGGGCTGGGAGGGGCGGGCGCTTGCCTGCAGCTGATGCCGTGGAAGAGAGAGAGACATGAGCCCACGGGATGTGGAAGGGTGACATGTACTGGGGGCTGAGGCAGGGGTCTGGGGGGGCTTTATCGGGGCCCGAAGCCGAAGTAGAAGGATTCATCAGGCCGGAAGCCGTAGGCGGTGGCCGGGCGGCCCAGGGTGCCCACTGGGGGGCCGAAGCCGTCCACTCCGAGGCTGGAGAGAGAAAAGGGGACTCGTTAGCCAAGCCGGACTTCTCCGTCTACAAGGCGCAGGGCCAGGAAGCGGGTCGGCCCCCTGCCCCTGCCCCCATTTGGCCCATGTTTGCTTCCTTGGCACCAGAACTGGTGTCGATGCCCGCTGGGAACCTTCGTCTCGTCTCTGAGTTAATTATGTCCAACATACACATGACTTTTTGTTTTTTGGGGTCCCACCTGGCGATGCTCAGGGCTGACTCCCGGCTCTGTGCTCAGGGATCACTCCTGGCGGTGCTCAGGGGACCCTAAGGGATGCTGGAGATTGACCAGGCTCACCTGTGAGCAAAGCCAACGCCCTCCGCAGCTGTACCATTGCCCGGATCCCATAAAACATACAAATTTTGAGGGACGAAGGTGACGAGAGATTTTAGTTCAACTGATTCTGCAGAAATTCAGGCCCAAGGAGCCTTCACGGATTCGTTTCATTACTTCATCTATTAGTAAGAGGATTTCGAAGAGAATCTGTCCCCCAAAGCACATTCTAAGAACCAGAGAACCACCCGATCCTCAGCCGCGGGATGGGGCGTTGGCTCTAACGGTGGACGCGGCACCGGCCCTTTGCACATGCATCGCTCATGCGGTGGATGCAGCCGAACTTGTTTCCAGCCAGAGGGAATGGGGCGACAAGGCGTGGATGGAAGCTTGGAAAGAATGCGCACAAATGACAAAAGCATTTGTGAGGGCAAGCGATGGACAGATACTTTTTTTCCCCTTTACCAGTAAAATCTCAAAAAAAAAAAAATTATGCATATAGGCGCAAACTTCCTCCCACCATTCTAAAGGAGAAATCAAAGGGTTAAGGTTGTAAATGACGTGTGTGTGTACGTGTGTGTGTGTGTGTGTGTGTGTTGTGGAACAGAACTAAAGAACCAACAAAAAGCACCATAGCACACACATAAGCTATATTATTCACAGGGAAAGAGAATTTCTAGAAGGACAGGGACCCAACTGCCTCGTGTTCCATCTCGAACAAAAACTACCTCAATTTTCCGAAAGTCGGTTAAGAATTTTGACCTGAATTTTGAAGTGGTTAGAAATAAGTATGTCGCTTTTATTTTAATCTCATGGCAATACTGCATTTTCTGTGGGCTAGATGTATTCTTTTTCCTTTTTTTCTTTTTCTTTTTGGGTCACACCCGGCGATGCACACGGGTTAGTCCTGGCTCTGCACTCAGGAATCACTCCTGGTGGTGCTCAGGGGACCCTATGGGATGCTGGGAATCTTGAACCCGGGTCGGTCACGTGCAAGGCAAGTGCCCTCCCTGCTGTGCTATCGCTCCAGCCCCTAGATGTATTATTCTAGAGGTAGCTTTGAAGATGTCTCAAAAAAAAAAAAAAGTAAAAAAGAAAAAAAAAACAATAATCAGTATCTATGGACCAAAATACACAAAATACCCGTTTGGAATTAGTGGAGAAGTTTGGCAGTTGAGATTTTTATCCATAGAGTTGCTAAGGCTGAAAAGTACCCTTAGACAAACATCTCTCGATGACCCAGTGACCACGATGCATTCAGGGACTTTAAACGTCTTTTTTTCCCGCATCTCCCACCTTACAATTTCCAGCATCTGCTGAGAGTGACATTAGCTCAGGGTGATGCTCTTTATTATATTATTATTATTGTATTGTATTATTATTATTGCTTTTGGGGTCACACCTCAGCGGTTACTTCTGGCTCTGCACTCAGGAATCACTCCTAGCGGTGCTCGGGGGACCCTGTGGCATGCTGGGAATCGAACCCGGGTCAGCTTTGTGCAAGGCAAACGCCCTACCTGCTGTGCTATTGCTCCAGCCTGTCTTTTTTATTATTATTTTGCTTTTGGGGTCCCACCCAGCGATGCTCAGGTCTGACTCCTGGCTCTGCGCTCAGGAATCACTCCTGGCAGTGCTTGGGGGACCATATGGGATGCTGGGGATCGAACCCGGGTCAGCTGCGTGCAAGGCAAACGCCCTCTCCGCTGTGCTATTGCTCCGGCCCCCTGATGCTCTTTTTAAAGCCTCTCAATTTTAGATCCCTCTGCAGACAAACGCTTCCCAGTTGGTTCTGACACGACACGGGGTTGGGCTCCCTGCAGCGTGGACAGTCTTGGACGAGCCCCCGCGACTCCACACTCCCTGATGCCGAGGAAGTGGAAGGAGACGGGACAGGACACGACATTCACATGCAGAGGGGGGTGCTCCGGGCCAAAGGGAAGGTGACCACCTACCTGGGCTGGGGGGCGAGGAGGGGCACTAGCGCACAGTGGCAAAGCACTTGGGAATCCTGGGGTGGAAAGTGCTGCGTGAGCGAAAAGTGACCAGCGTTATTGGGGGAACCGGGCGAAGGCGACCGGGTCTGCTCGGAAACTCCAGGCCGGCCAGGACGCCCAGCAGAGAGATGGTGAGCGGAATGAATGCAAGCCAGGCTCTCTCTCTCTCTCTCTCTCTCTCCCTCTTTCTCTCCCTCCCTCTCCATCTGTCCCTCCCTCCCTCCCTCCCTCCCTCCCTCCTTCCCTCCCTTTCTCTCTCCTCCCTTTCTTCCCTCTTTTTCTCCCTCTCTCTATCCCTCTCCCTCTCGCTCCCTTTCTTCCCTCCCTCATTCTCTCTCTTACACACACACACACACACACACACACACACACACACACACACACACACACGCTAGATAGATCCTTGCTTCCCAGAAAGCATTCTCAGCAATAATCCAGCCTACCTGTGGCTCTCACCTCATGGCCCACACAAAGTCTCACCCCTAACCCCTAAATCTGAGATTCTGTGTGGCCGTCCTGAACTCAGACTGCAGATGCATTCACAAGTGCTGGGATATTTTGGAAGAAGTGATTTTTTTTTTCCTCCCTTGAAACGCTTTTTTTTTTCAAGAGACCAGGGCCTTGGGCGCAATTCTTGGCAGTGCCCTTGGCCTGTGGAATGCCAAGGCTCAAACACGCTAGAACCTCCCTAGCCCCTTAAAATTATTATTTTTTTAATCTTCTTGATTTTATTTTTATAAAGTTGGGCACAACCATTTATTGCATCCAATATTCCAACACCCATCCCACCACCATTATTTCGAATTTTCTCACCATCACCCAGACCTGTTCTCTAAAGCGGGTCCTATGTAACTGATTTTGTATTGCTTGTTATGAATATTTCATTAAAAATGATCCAAAAAAGTACCCTATGAGGAAAGTATGTGAAGATCGTTGTACCTTTCCCTGGGGCCATTATGCCCTTGTATAAGATATTTACTAACATGTCGTTACAGGTTGGGCCTTGTGTGCTAATTTTTCCTTATAATTTTTTTTTTCAATTGAATCACGGTGAGCTGCAGTTACAAAGCTTCCATGTTTGAGTTTCAGTCAAACAAGGATCGAACACCCATCCCTCCACCAGTGCACATTCCCCACTACCAATATTCCCAGTATCCCCCCCATCCCAACCCTCCCCCTGCCTCTATGGCAGACCATTTCCCCTCCATACTCTCTCTCTACTTTGGGGCATTATTTATTTTATTTTTATTTTGGGCCACACCCAGGGGCACGTGGGCTTGTTCTGTGTTCGGGGATAGAGGATGCCGGGAATTGAACCTGGGTCAGCTGTATGCAAGGCAAGTGCCCTCCCGGCAGGACTGTCCATCCCTCTGACCCCCTGAAATTCTTACCTATGCCAGCAAGAGAAGTGTGGACTGAGTGAGGTCGCATTAAGACCAAATTTTTTTTTTCTTTTTGGGTCACACCCCGCGATGCACAGGGGTTACTCCTGGCTCATGCACTCAGGAATGACGCCCGGCGGTGCTCTGGGGACCTAATGGGATGCTGGGAATCGAACCCAGGTCGGCAGCGTGCAAGGCAAACGCCCTCCCCAACTTGGATTTAGGGACCCAGAGCTGACGCGCGTGTGATTTACAGAGCGACCACTAGGGGGAGGGCTTGTCCCCCTTTTGAGCCGGTTTTCCAACAAACGCTTCTTCCACCCAATTTCTCAGCCTGTTGCAACACTTCCAGAATGGGGTTCCCACGGCCGGCCTGCTCCGCCCAGGTAATCAATACTTTATCTTCTCAGTGTGAAACGGTTTTTACTTAAGACGAAATAGTCAAGGCCAGAACCACAGGACAGCGGGGAAGTCGCTGGCCCTGCATGCGGCCGACCCGGGTTCGATCCCAGGTACCATATCTGTGTGGACCCCCCAAAAAAGGAAAAAAAAAAACCCACCAAACCCCCAAAACAAAACTCAAACCACAAAAGACTAACTAGGAATCTCTGTCAATGACATGCAAAGATTGGGAGTGGGGGAGGGGGGCCGGGGGGATGCTTAATGAATTAAAGCAGATAATTAGGGTCTTCAGATCCTAATTGGACATGGGGGAATTGCAATTTGCACGCGTGTTAAGTGCCGCTGATAGGATCAGGCCGAAGCGTTTTGCTGAATCTGCCAAGCATCTCTGTGTAAACTCGGAATTAGTACGTACGGATTTTATTTTGCTTAAAGTCCTCCTTGGTATTCTTGAGGAAAACAGCACAAGTAAGTAATCTTTTCAAGAGACTTGCTGATGTATTTCAAGTGTGCTTTTGGTTTTCTTTGACTCAATCTTTTTTCTTTTTGCTTTTTGGGTCACACCCGGTGATGCTCAGGGGTTACTCCTGGTTCTGCACTCAGGAATCACTCCTGGCGGTGCTCGGGGGACCATATGGGATGCTGGGAATTGAACCCAGGTCAGCTGTGTACCAGGGAAACGCCCTATCTACTGTGCTATCACTCCAGCCCCCCCCCCCTTTTTTTTTGCTTTTTGAGTCACACCCGGTGATGCTCAGGGGTTACTCCTGGTTCTGCACTCAGGAATCACTCCCAGCGGTGCTCGGGGGACTCTATGGGATGCTGGGAATCGAACCCAGGTCATCTGCGTGCAAGGCAAACGCCCTTCCCGCTGTGCTATCGCTCCAGCCCCTCTTTGACTCAATCTCTGAGACGCGCGTGTGTCCATT